GTGTCCGTACTGCTTACCCCTGAGGGAGACCCAGATGCACTTGACATCCCGACTCCGCGCTCTTACGCGGAGGCGATAGAGGGTCCCTACTCCTCTCAGTGGCAGGCAGCTATGGACGCAGAGATGGCTTCCTGGAAGTCCACAGGCACCTACGTTGACGAGGTTCCCCCGCCTGGGGCGAACATCGTCAGTGGCATGTGGATTTTCAGGGTGAAGCGGCCGCCGGGTTCTCCGCCTGTCTTCAAGGCGCGTTACGTGGCTCGTGGCTTCAGTCAGCGGCAGGGAGTTGACTACTTTCAGACCTTCTCTCCCACCCCGAAGATGACCACTCTTCGGGTACTGCTGCACATAGCTGCTCACCGCGACTACGAGCTGCACTCTCTTGACTTCAGCACAGCTTTCTTGCAGGGCAGCCTGCACGAGGAGATCTGGCTGCGTCGCCCACCTGGCTTCACTGGGTCTTTTCCTCCTGGCACCCAGTGGAGCCTCCGGCGGCCAGTCTACGGTCTCCGCCAGGCACCGCGTGAGTGGCACGACACACTGAGGACTACACTTGCGGCTCTTGGGTTTGCTCCCTCTACTGCCGACCCGTCGCTGTTTCTGCGCACCGACACTTCTTTGCCGCCGTTCTACATCCTCGTGTACGTCGACGACTTGGTCTTCGCCACAGCTGACACTGCTGGACTCGCCCACGTGAAGTCCGAGCTGCAGAAGAGACACACGTGCACAGACCTGGGTGAACTGCGCAGCTACCTTGGCTTGCAGATCACCCGGGACAGAGCACGCCGCACCATTACCCTGACTCAGTCACACATGATGCAGCAGGTCGTTCAGCGCTTCGGCTTCACGTACTCCTCGCCTCAGGCCACTCCTCTGCCTACTCGCCACTCGCTCTCAGCTCTGCCTTCGGATGAGTCCGTAGAGTCGAGTGGCCCGTACCCAGAGCTTGTTGGCTGCCTCATGTACCTGATGACCTGCACACGACCTGACCTTGCGTACCCTCTTAGCATTCTTGCACGCTATGTTGCTCCTGGGAGACACAGACCGGAGCACATGGCTGCAGCGAAGAGGGTGTTGCGCTACTTGTGCAGTACGTCGGGCATGGGGCTTGTGCTTGGAGGGCAGAGTCCAGTGGTCCTCACTGGGCACGCAGACGCTTCTTGGGCTGACGACCAGGCTACGCAGCGGTCGTCACAGGGTTACTCCTTCAGCCTTGGTTCCGGCTCTGTTTCGTGGCGGGCTACCCGCTCGTCTTCTGTTCTCGGCTCCAGTTGTGAGGCTGAGATCTACGCTGGGGCCATGGCTGCACAGGAGCTTCGCTGGCTCACCTACCTGCTGACTGACCTCGGAGAGCCGCCTCGTTCTCCTCCAGTGCTGTACGTAGACAACAAGGCCATGCTGGCCTTGTGTCGAGAGAAGAGACTGGAGCATAGAACGAAGCACATTGCTCTCCGCTACTTCCTTGCTCGTGAGCTACAGCAGCGTGGTCAGCTGCGGCTTGCGTACGTGGCCTCTGAGGCCAACACTGCTGATATCTTCACCAAGGCACTTGCGCCTTGTGATCATCAGCGCTTCTGTACTCAGCTTGGTCTTGTGCCTACCTTGCCTCACTTGCTCACCCCTTGACCTTGTTTGTACTGTTGCATATATATATACACCTGCTCTTGCTTGTCTAGTCTTATATATATATATATGCAATCCTGCATGTGAACTGGCCTTGTGGCCTTGAACTTGTGCTCGGAATGTGTGGTGACTTTGTGATCCACCCTGAGTTTGTTTTGCTTTGCTTGACTGGTCTTGTGACCCCTTGTTCTCCCCCACTTTGCCTATGGGGGTGTGTCAGATTTATATGACATAGCTACTGTAGGCTATAGTGGGGTAGCACATATGGGGTACAGTTTTCTAGGGTTTGCTTTTTGTACCCAACTTTCACTTAGTCATTTCATTCCTGTTTTCTTAATTCACAGCCCGTTCCTAGGGCAGGCACTTGCCACATGTCCCGGCTGGCCGCAGCGGAAGCACGAGCCCCGAAACCCACGACAATTGGCCGTGGGCGGGGGGGCCCGCTTGGGTAAGAACGGCATCGGCCCGTTGTTTCCGCCGCGGGTGACACGAGCGTATGCACTTGCCGCGCGGTCCATTGCAGCCATATCCGCGACCGCCTGCTTGAAGGGTCGAGAGGTCAGCAGGCTCTTCTGCTGGTACAGTTTGAAGCGTTTCGCCGTGCGGAAGTCGGAAGCGTCCTCCACTTGAAGCACCTCGAAACGCCCCGAGATGAGGTTGAGCGCGTGTGAGATGAGTTCGAGTCCGCCCGCCGAGTCGCCTCGCTGCGCCTTGTATTCCGCGTGTAGCAGGTACGCACGCAAGTCCTCCAGCAGCTCCGCTTGCTCTCGCACGGAGTCGTTGACGAAAGTCGCCGCCGAAAAGGTGAGGTTAGAAGAAGGAAGGGGGGGGAGGTTTTCCGTGCCAATAAAATTAGCAGTGATGACTGGAGCCTCACCAGCTTCATCTTCAGAGTCGTCGGTGTCGTTGTCGACCGCCGGAGCAGGGGGAGCGGCTGTCGCTGCGTCGTTGTCATGCCGGTTCGTACGTGCTCCTCGCGTGCCTTTTTCCTTTTTCGCGTTTTCTTTTTTAGCCGACGCAGATGCAGCGGATAGTGCAGTTTCCGCAGCTGTAACGCTGAAGGGCTGCTGCTGTAGAAGGGATAGCAGCGCGTTGACCTGGTCCGGGGTCAACGCCTGCGTCAGTGCAGGGGCGGTCGTCGCGTCAGACGAGGAGACCGCAGTCCGCCTCCTCTGGCGCTGACGCGACGGTCCAGCCGCGGGTGCTGGCGTGTGCTCGGCGTCAGGTGCGTGTGCCGCGCCAGCTGCCGTCGCCACTTGCGCCGCAGGTGCCACAGGCGCCACTGGCGCCACAGGGGCCGAAGGGTGCTGCTGGGCGTCGGCACTTTTGTTGACCTCGAGCCCGCCCAGCAGCACGTCCACTGCAGTCGGGGCGGGCGGTCCATCTTCTGCCCGGCGCTTGTTACGGCGGTCGCCCGCAAAATCGCGGGTGTTACGGTCGGAGTCGGAAGCTGGGTTGGACGAGTTCCCGTTGTTAAGTGTCGTCGTCGGTGCCATCGTTGATCGATTGAAGTTAAAAATGTCGCTAAGTAAAGTCGAGGGTGACTCGCCTCTAGGAAGCGATTTTGTTCGAGCCAGCTTGGAAGGAGAGAAAGACTACGTGAGCGGAAATGTTGAGTGAGCCGTTTGAAATAGAGAAGCGTGGGTGGAGGGAAATGAGCTCCAACCCACGGTTTTTGTAGTTGGAGAAGGGCGTTTAGCGCGCTTCGACGATGCCAATTGTGCAGTACAAGCAGCTTCGCTTTCACAATACACAATTTTAAAAAACACAATGTGTGTTTAAAAATTATAATATTTTGTACAGACGTTTTCACAGACTGGGGCCTGGGCGGTTGCTGCCAACAAGCGCACCAACAGGTCATTAAAAGTAAATCTAGGTAACCAGGTAACACCACCAACTGGCAGATAACTGTTAGACAGAGCACACGCTAAGGTGCATCTACAGGTCAGCAGTAAAGAAGACCAAAGTCTGTCGGTAAGACACACAGTGTTGGCAAGCTCATCACACTGACGACCACATAGTGCTGGCAAGGCAAGCCACCAGGGTCCAGAACAAAGCAGAAGCAACAGTGCTGGAACACCGACCTCATCAGTGCCAGAACCAGCATTGGCATCAGCAACTGTCCAGTGCCCACCCCACACGCCTCCCTCTGCACAAAACAACGGCGCACAGAAAGCAGCTACAGGAATCCTACTGGTCCCCACATCAGCATCAGCAGCAGCAGCATCAGCGACAACAGCAGCAGCAGTCATCTACAAGCAAGCAATTTTGCAAGGATGCGAACTCTCTATCAGGCAATCCTATTCGCAGGCAGGCATTTTTCGCCTGACAGGATCATCACTCACCCCAATCAGTTCCCTCGACTACCGGTAATCCAAGCAGTTTCTAGACTCAAATCAGCAAGACCTACGGTAATCAATGCCTGCAGCTTACACTAGAGGGCTTGACCTGTCCAGTGAAGAGACAGAGATGGCAGGTGCGGTGCTACACCCCCCAGAGGCAGCAGCAGCTACAGCCCGCAAACTCAGCAAAAACCTTCTGCACCGCTGCAGACTTGCGACAAGATCCCATCCCGATGCAGCAGAGTGAAAGAGCCAAGCCAAGCCACCCATTCGAACGAACCTGCAGTGGCCTGAACACACCCTTCACTAAACCCAAACCCCAGGGCAAAGCCTAGCTACAGCGCGACTAAGCACACCACCAGGGGAGGTTGGTTGGTTGGTGCGAGGCCAACATCTACTGGCATAGTACCACAGGTCAGCAATTGCTGTGCGCTCCCCATTTGCTGTATCCCCCCCTCTCTCTCCCCCCCCCCCCTCCCCTCCTCCTCTCCCCTCCCCCATCTGTTCGGTCCCATGCGTCTTGCTTTGCCAGCCGCAATGATCCTCGCAATCACTCCACTCGAAGGCGCTTGTTGCGATTCCCATCCAAAGCACCTCTGCCTGTGCTTGCCTGAAGGTATCAAGAATGTGCCAATGCACGCACATCCATGAATGTGTGTGTGCATTCGGTCGTGTGGTATGTGTGTGGGAGTGTGGATGAGATGCGGCAGGAGGAGGGGAGGCGAGGGAGAGTGGGAGGGAGGGAGCGGGAGGGGAGGGGAGGGGAGGGGAGGGGAGGAAGAAGGGTGTGATTGCATGTGTGTGTCGAGACATGCACACAGTTATGGGGCAAACGCAGCAAGAAGATGAATGTGGTGTAGAGATTGAGAAACCAAAACAGCCAGAACAGAAAGGCTGAACAGGAAAAACAGGCAGACAAACGGAAGTGTATGCACTGATGAACCAAAGCGCGAACCAAGGAAAAGGGAAATGAGAAAAACGAACAGAGAAAGGAGAGGCTGACACGACACTGAGTAACATAGATAATAGATATCATCATACCTCTCGACAAGTCGCATGAACAATGCGACGTCGCCAATGCCCTGCATCACCCTGCCCAGAACCACCAGTGCGGTCACCGCTTCCCACCGCACCCTCCACCACTGCACCTCTATACATCCACTCGTCCTCCTCCGGATCAAAGAACACGTCGAATTTCTCCCCACACAAAGCACACCAATCATCCGCATCATCCTCTGCGGGAACAGCTAGATTTGCCCCATCTCCATCTCCCGTCCCTCCTCCTGCCTCGCCACTTGCTACCACTCCTCCTCCTCCGCCCCCGCCTCCACCCTCTCTTCCTGCTCCTCCTCCATCTCCTATTCCCGTTCCCATCCCTCCTCTGTCCGTCACCCCGCCACCAGCGGCAGAAGAAACAGAAACACCAGACATTTGTTTACTATCACCATCAGCACCACCAGAAGCAGCACCAGCGGCAGCACCCCCTCCTACTCCTCCTCCTCTACCTCCTCCATCTCCCTCTCTTCCTGACCCAATCTCCCCAGCACCTCCACCCACCCCTCCCCCCGAACCACCACCCGCCCCTCCTCCCATCCCCCCACTTTCACCGGGACCAGCAGCAGCAGCAGCAGCTGTGGATTCTGACAGCCAATCACGCGTCGACACGTACCACATGTGTGACTGTGCCTTCTGCTGCTTCAGCCGCTTCCGCTTCAGAAAGTGGCCGTCCAGGTGCCGCCCGTACTCCTCCTGGTCGGCAAACCTTCGTCCGCATGTGGCGCACTGGCGGGGAAAGTCGAAATAGAGCGCGGACACCACCGCCTCGTGTCTTGATCTCAGCACCTCCTGCTTTATCTCCCGCCCCACAGCAGCTAAGGCTCCATGGGAGATTATCAGCAAGGGAGGAGGGAGGTCTTGTGGGGGCAGAGGAGGCAGAGGAGGAGGGGGGTGCGGATGGGGGAACGGCGGGTGGGGAGACGCGGAGTGCTGGGGGGTTTGACTGGAGGGAGGTGGCGCGTGTGGTGGGAATGGGGGATGGGGTTGAGTGGGCAGGGGAGGGGTGGGGACACGGTCGAACGATTCAGGGTGGGAAGGGGCGAGGGAGGGAGGGGGTGCTGAGGGGGGAAGGGGAGGAAGAGGAGGAGTGAAAGATGCAGGCATGGAAGCTTCCCCTGCTGCTCCAGCTCCCATGTTCAAAACGCCCTGTGTAAGAAGCGAGGATAAAAGGTTTGACAGCCCTGCACCTCCTCCTCCTCCTCCGCCTCCCCCACCACCATCACCACCAGCACCCGTAAGTCCAGCCATAGAAGCACCTCCCACCGCTCCACCACCGTCTCTTGCATAATCACCACCACCAAAAGCAGCAGGATAAGACGATCCTGCAGGGGCGAGCAGCGAAGATAAGGCCGCTGGAAGGTTTGCAGGGAGAGGAGGCACGGCTACTGCGGGTGAAGGAGGAGAAGAGGGCAGGCGGGCAGACGCAGCAGAAGCGGCGAGAGATGATAAGAGGGTGGCGGGATGGGCTGCTGATGCAGATGGGGGTGCGTGCGGGGGGAGAGGCGGGAGACTGGGGAGAGGAGGTCCGAGAGGAGGAGGAGGGGCGGGGTGGGGAACGTGAGGAGGAGTGGGGGAGGGTAGGCGTGGAAGGGTAGCAGGAGGGAGCGGCGGTGCTGCTGCCGATGATGATGGTTGGATTCCTGGTAGGTTCCCAGCCGCTGCTCCTACCTGCTGTAGCAGCGACGTGAGCTGCTGAGACGAGAACGGAAGCGCTGCATCTGAGGCTAACCCAGCACGCAGACCCGCACCAGGCATTTCCGCTTCCATCCCCTCCCCCATACGGTACCCTCTACCAGCAGCAGAAGCAGATGCAGGAGGGAGAGAAGGCGGTATGCTGTGATGATAAGGAACACCTGGGACGGCAGGAGGGGGTGCTGAGGAGCGGGGAAGCGGCAAGAGATCATGCACGTCAACGTCTGGGAGATCTGGGCCTAGGTCTACCACCCTTGCTGCTGCTGCTGCCGCCCTGGCTGCTGCTATTGCTGCTGAAACTGGCACCCCTGCCCCTGCCCCTGCCCCTGGTCCTGCTCCTGCTGCTCCTGGTATAGGCCACGTGTCTGCTGCTGCTGCCATAGGGGATGCTCCTGCTGGGTGGTGCTGGAGGCGTGAGCGGAGCAGGGAGGCGTGGGAAGGGCCAGGCGCGTCTGGGTGCAGGGGGAAGGAGGAATCGCTGGATGGGCGCGGGCGGCGGAGGGCGGAGCGCGGGTGGATAGGAGGCCCCTGGAATGGGGGAGGAGGGGAGCGGGAAGGTGGGCGAGTAGGGGAACGGGAGAGTACGGGAGTGGGGGAAGGATGGGGGGGAGGGAGGGAGGAGCAGAAATGGGGTGGAGAAAACAGGCTTCCGACAAGAGATGGTGAGACAACGAGCTATACCACAGCTCAATAAACATAAGGGACTATTACCTAGCAGCGCACCAAGGAAGAGCAGAGCAGAGGAGAGGAGAGGAGAGGAGAGGAGAGGAGAGGAGAGGAGAGCAGAGCAGAGCACAAGGAATACCTGTTCATCATCCATCATTGCATGCTCCCGTGCCCGAAGCTGCTGCTGCTGCTGTTGCTGTCGACCCACCATAGAAGCAGGCACCACTTCCGTCACCTCCTTCCACTGGAAATGCGTGCTGCTCACCCGCTCGCCCCCTCCCCCACCACCACCCATACCACCAACAGCTGCTGCTGCTGAGTGTGCAGCACGCATCACTTTGGCGGGCCGAGCCCGGACAACTGGTTTTGAATCAGCTGCTGCTGCTGCTGCTGCTGCTGCTGCGGCGGATACCCGACCCCGAGCAGCACTGGCGGCAGCAGCAGCAGGAGAGGCAGCGGGACGGTGGTAGCGGTCCGCGGGTGGACGAGCGGGGCGAGGGGGAGGGGCGAACTGTTGTTGCATTCCTGGAGAGGGGCAGCGAGAGATGTAGGGAGAGATAGGCGACGAGGAGGCGAAACGAGGGGGGCCAGCGAGAGGGAGAAGCAAGGGGAGGGAGAGGAGGAGACGAGTGAGGATAATGGAGAGACAGACACACGGCGAGTCAAGAAGCGTCTGAAGTGGACGGAGGGACGACGGGGAAAGGAGGGAAAAGAGAGGGAAGAGGGGAAGGAAGGAGGAATCATACAGACAGCCATTCACACGCACACACCAAAATTTCCCTCACCTGCCATGCCTCCTGCAAACGCATCGTCCCCATTCTGCTCCTCTTGCTCTTCCTCCTCCTCCTCATCCTCATCATCCACAGCTACTCGCCTATCCAACCATCCCCCATCATCCCCCCCGCCATCCACCACCCCCTCACTCCCCTCCATCCCATCATATTCCACTGCAGGCCCCACCAACTCATCCTCCTCCTCCTCCGCCTCCTCCTCCGCTTCTGCTTCCTCCTCCTCCTCCTCTTCCCCCTCTTGCTCCGCCTCTACCCCATACCCTCCGTACGGCCCCCTGTACCGCGGTGCCTCCTCCTCCTCTTCATACATCTCTACAGCTGGCTGCACGTGGCGTTGCCTCATTGGCGGAGCCCCACGCCCCCGGCCCATAGGAGGAGGAGGGGGAGGAACGGCAGCAGGGACGCTCCCCATACCCCCAGCCCTTCTCGCTCCTTTCAACTTTCCCATAGCAGCCGCCGCTGCTGCAGTCGCCGCAGCAGCCGCAGCAGAAGCGCGAGCAGGGTGCGAACCCAGACCTGTTGCTCTGCCCGCGCCTCTACCCGCGACAGCTCCCCCCCGCGCCCCCCGCCCACCCCTCCCCGCCGCAGCCCCTACCCTCCCCCCTGCGACTCTCTCCCTCTCCCGCGCTCTGGCTACCGCCACTCCCCCTGCCCTTCCCCCCGCGCCTCCATTAGCAGCGGAGGCGGAAGAAGAGGAGGTAGAGGTGGCAGTTCCGCCTGCGCCACCTGCCCCCGCGGCCCTACCCGCGGATGCTGTAACTCCCCACTCTGCTGCGCGCCCGTCCGACCCCTTACCCGCTGCCGCCGCCGCCGCCGCCGCTGCCGCAGCTGCGCGGCGCTGCTGTAACGTGCCATTGCCTGCTCGCGGGGTGGCAGAGGGCCGCTGCTGCGTCGCTATACCTGCTGCGGCTGCGGCGGCCGCTCGTCTAGCGGCCAAACCCTAAGTCAGGCGAGGGGAAAAGAGGCAAGAGCGTGGGTGATAAGGGGAGATGGAGGGTAAGGGGTCTAGCAAAGCAACTGGATCCAAGATTTCGCTCAAGAAACTGAAAAGACTTGCAATATCACTTCCAGCAAGCAGACTCGGGCGAAACGTAGGCTCACTTCAACTCCTTCTTACCTTCGTTATCATGCTCACCTGCTGCTGTATCCTCTGTTGCTGTTGCTGCTGCTGCTGCTGCACCTGTGCAGCTTTCAGATACTTTGGGTTCACATGGATTCTCCCCGAACCAGGCGAATCCAACGGTATCCCTCCCCCCCCGTCCGCTCCTCCACCACCCGGCCCCCCTCCCGCCCTGCCCGCTGCCCCCCCAGCATGCGCCCTCGCGTGCGCGGGGGTGGCGGGGGGAAGGTGCGGGGAACCCATGCCCGGATGCCCGTGATGGGGATGATGCGCGTGGTTAGGCGGAACACCCCCCCCTCTCCCCCCGCCCCCGCCAACTCCTTGGTGCGGAGGCCCTGGGGGATGGCCCCCGTGCATGGGGCCTGGCGGAATGCCTGGGGGAGGGGGCTTCCCGCCGGCGGAAGGGGGTGGGGGAAAGCGCAGGCGCAGCTCGATCGCGCGGAGGGGCTGGTGGGGGAAGACGGAGCGCCAGGTTTCGAAGAGGTGGCGCATCTGGGGCTTAATTGCCCCGTCCACCTGGTCATAGGCGCGACAGAATACCTGCGCGCGCGGAGACGCGCGGAAGGCGGGCAGGGGAGGGGGGAGGGAGACGGAGAAGGAGAAAACGAGGGGGAGGGAGGTGGGGGGGAAATGGGGAACAAGGGGGGAGGGTGAACTACGAGGGGAAGCCATGAGGCAAAAGAAGGCGCTCGACGAGACGGTCCGGGGCAGAGGAGAAAGCAGTGATGCAACGGGGTAATGCGGCGCATGCACAGCAGCAGCAGCAGGAAACCTGGCAGCATTTCATCAGCAGCAGACTCAACGCCAGAGCAGAACGAACGCCATGAGAGCACGACAGCACAGCACGGCAGCAGACCGCACGCCAGCACGGCCGACAGTGATCGATAGTAGCACCTATCCTACCTCGGGCAAGCGAGTGGCGAATACGTCAATGTAGGGTCCCCCCTCGTTCTTGACAATGCTATCCAGCAGGTACAGCACCGGCAGCTTCTGATCCGGCGATTTTTGAATCGACTAAAAACTAGCCTACCTCGGGCAAGCGAGCAGCAAATACGTCAATGTAGGGTCCCCCCTCGTTCTTGACAATGCTATCCAGCAGGTACAGCACCGGCAGCTTCTGATCCGCTGGCACCTGCCGTGCATGCAAGGCGGGTCGATAACAACGCGCAAGGGTGCAACACACGGGAAAATGTAGCAGGGACACGAGCGAGCGAGCATGGAAAACAAAGCGGATCAGTGGCGAAGAGAGAGAAAAAGCACGACACCTGTGGATGGGAGACAGACACACACAAAAGAAACGTTCAGAGGAGTGCATGCAAGGAAACATGATGAGAAAAAAAGCATAGCACGAAAAAAAGCGCGGCAGCAGGGCAGATGCAAAGAGGCAGCAGCGCAGCAGCAGCAGCAGTACCTCGATATGCTGACAGATGGTATTGGCAATGGCCTTGGCCGCATGCGCGTTCTTTGAGGCGTCTCAAAAGCGGCAAAGCGGCAGCAAACGCAGCAACGCAGCAGAGCAGCAGCCGTACCTCGATGATATGCTGACAGATGGTGTTCGCGATGGCCTTGGCCGCATGCGCGTTCTCCCCGGCGATGATGGTGAGGTTGGTGATGATGGGCTTGCTGTTGAACGTCAGCTCCGCCAGCTCGCACTTGTACTGCTCCACTAGCTCCGCCACGTCGCCGGTCATGGCGGCCGCCTCACTCACACCGTCGACGCTTAAAACTTCTGACGCTTATAACTCCTGACCCTTGAGAATGTATCACCACTGGAATACAAGCGATACCGCTATACACGCCTAGATAATACCACCGCTAGACACGCCAGCTGTATCCAGCGCTAAGATTTTGTGCGAGAATTGCACGTTAGGAATTAACTCCAGCGTCAGAGAGTTGAGTCGGAAATCTTGGGCAAAGAGGAAATAAATCGCTCTGGTTGACGGATCTGAAAATTTACTTAACATTTTCAGAGAACAAACAGAGCAGGGTTACGGGATTCACTACTATCTTCCGCGAGAGAACGAAATTCTGATTTTTACACAAACGCACTTCTTTTAGTACCTCCGAATCGCACTTCAGACCTTTCAAGGAGATACCACTCTTCTCGAGGCATCTGAGCTCATGGAGGAAGAAAGACGTCATGGATCTTCCGCAATTCTTGAAATTGATGGATGACAAGCCATTTGAAGTTACAGCACGCGCTTAAACCTCCGAAAGCCGCGGCTTGTCGCGGAAGCGATCGAGTTCTTATCGAAGAAGGCGATTGAGTCGCAAGGTACGTTTAAGTCGCAAGGAATGGCTGGGACCGGAGGCCTCGACGATGATGAACGCCGCCGCGGTAGACTGAATTTCAGTGGAAGTCCATGAAGAAGTTTCGACAGAACGGAAAGGTCACGATGAAGTCGGCTGCACGAAATGCGCACCTGGAAAACGTCAGGAGGAGTTTAACACTCCATTCTGAACAATTGATGACGGAAAATTGGAACGCGCAGCGACAATCTTCGTCGTGAATCCATCAGGCTAACTGCTACCAGGCAAAGGGACAACTAAAGGGAGATGCGAACTCAGCAACGCCACGATGCAACGATCAGAACTAGGGTTGAGTTGAGTCGCTCACCCTACTACTTGAAGATTAGCAAAGAGAGGGGGGGGGTTGTAGAGAGAGGTTAGCAGCACAGCACACACGAGCCTGGGCTGGTGTGCTTACAGCGAGTAAGAGAGGAAGAGTTGAAGGCGGTGAATAGTCTGCATGCTGGGTGTAAGAGTCGGTACAGTGATTTGCATCAATGAAAATGGACTAAACATGTTACAGAGAAACTCCCCTTCCTTGGTAGTATAATAAGGAATGTATGTTAATGCAAAAAAAAGAGGAAGAGAAGTTTTAGAAAACAATGAGTAAGAGGTAAATTTTAAAATCTAAGAGTGTTCGATCAATATCCATGTGTCGCATTTTCAGTCACTTTGCTTTGCCTTGTTTTTCTGGACGACGAAGTTTTTCTGGGTTGTGACAACAACGGAATTTCAGCACTATTCGGAGAGAGCTCAATGTGAAAGCTTCGGTTGGCGGTTCGGAATAAGGTTTGCTCCAGTAAGCGCGGGGACACCTTGGGCCCGCCCCCAAGCCAAACTGTTTGCCAAAGCGCAGGTTCGGTTTGCAAAAAGACTCTGCGGTCTGTGTGGACACGAACCAAAGGGCGAGTTTCGATAAGTTCGGAAGCAAAGGTACGGAGCTCCTAACCTTGGATCTCATGCCTCGTGCTTTCAGCATGAACGGCTCCTCGCATCGTTACCGTCTATGGAGTTTCTCCCTCGAACCTGCAGCCGCGCTTTCAGCCTCGGGAACTCCCTCGTTTTTCGCGCTCTCCCATGCCTACAAGGAACAAGGGACGAGGAGCAGCATATGGGTGTGTGGTCAATAATTAGCAATTCCAGTCTCTTATCTCCAGTCTAGTCTCGTCTGGAACCTGAGCTCCTTGATCAGCTTCAGGCAGGCTTCAGTGTGTGAATTAGTAGCAGAGAGAGCAGATTGTACGAAAGGAACTGCTCTGGCTGCTGCTTTTAGGGGGATCGTACATACCTCCGTCCTGGTCTCTTGCCGTGATTTATCGTGGCGTGAACCTTTCCACTAATTAATCTTCGTCCGCCTCCTTATCGCCTCGCCATCGCCAACAACTTCAGCGTCTAGCATCTCCGCTCCGCGTCCATCAGATTCTGTCAATTATCATCCGATCGTTTCTGCCTACGCTGACACATTTCAGGGGGCCTTCCGCTAGCATCCTACATTCGTCCAACGGCGTTCATTCCATATTCTTTCCACGTTGCACTTCTCAAAAGTCTAAACCACCAATTTCTCCATATTGTAAGCTCGTGACGATATTCACGCCCATTCATTAAGCTTATCGAAGCATTCAAGTGCCATTTTAGCATTGTCAACGACACCTCCTACCATCTCCGGTACCACGATTGCGTCGAGGATGAGTCAGCATGATAAACCAGCGGAAGTTCAGTCGACCACGTCATCAGAATCACCAGATCGGGCCGCGGTAGATGCGCAGCAACAATTGCAGCAACAAGAGCAGCAACCAGAGCAAGAGCAGCAGCAAGAGCAACAGCCGGCCGCGCCTGAACCTCCGAAGCAGCAAGGCCGGGGTGGCCGATCATGGCGGTTGCTCTTCGCTGGTGGCATGGCAGGCGCTGTTGCGCGAACATGCACCGCTCCCCTCGATCGAATCAAGCTGCTGCTCCAGGTACACCACTGAACAATTTTTTTTTATCGAGCAGCACTTATGTCGCATTACTCATAGACGCAATCGTTCAGCAATCAGCCGTATTGCGGTCTAGCGTCCTCACTCGACTTAATTCTCACCCTCTGCTGGCTGTACAGGTGCAGCATCTGGGTCAGCTAGGCACGTCGGCTAACGCGTACACGGGCGTGAGTCAAGCTATCATGAAGATCGGGCGCGAGGAGGGTATCCGCGCGTTCTGGAAGGGCAATGGGCTCAACATCGTCCGCATCTTCCCTTACTCCGCTTCCCAGGTAAGATCCGCTCTCTGCTTTCTTCACCCTCAGTGTGCGTCTTTGTTTTGTTTTGTTTTTTTTTCTTTGCCACACCTCGCCCCGGCTCCCTCCCCCCCCCCCCCCCCTTTCGTGTTAACGGACGTTAATTCGCGCTTAACAACCTTGTTCGTCAATAACATTCCGACAACAACGTGCAACCCCCCTCCCATCCCTTCCCCCCTCCCCTCCCCTCCCCGCATTTCGCAACACTCAAGCAAGCGTTTGCGCTGCTCGCATATGGTATTAGCGCTGCTCAACTAGTCATTAAAGAACTTACACAGACTACCGTCAGTCGCTCTGTAAAACCCCGAACCCTCTCCCCACAACCGCCCTCTCTCCCCTTCCCCCCCGCTCCCATTCCCTCCCGTCCCTCGCGTCCCTACCCGTCTACCTTACGTTCACTTCCTACCTGGCGCACAATTCCCGCGCGCAGTTCACGTCGCACGAGCAGTACAAGATTTTGCTGGCGGGGCCGTCGGGGCAGCTGACGGTGCCGCAGCGGCTGATGGCGGGCGCCATGGCGGGCATGACGGCCACGGCGCTCACGCACCCGCTGGACACGGTGCGGCTGCGCATGGCCATGCCCACGTCGGGATACTCGGGGATCTCGCACGCCTTTGGGACGATCATTGCCAAGGTACGCTCTAGGGAGGGTTGGTATGCTCGGGTGCCGTAGCTTTTATAAGTCACCTGTACAGCCAGCATGGGGATGCCCACGTCGGGATACTCGGGGATCTCGCACACCTTTGGGACGATCATTGCCAAGGTACGCTCGAGGAAGGGATGGTATGGTGTGTGCTTATGTGGCTTTTGACTCGCCTGTACGGTTAGTTGCTGGCATAGTGGTGCCCACGTGCGAGTACTCGGGGATCTCGCACGCCTTTGGGACGATGGTACGCTCGGGGAAGGGAGGATGTGTGCTCAGGGGGCTTCTGAGTCGCCTGCACAGTCAGCATGGCCATGCCCACGTCGGGGTACTCGGGGATTTCACAGCTTTTGGGACGAGACGAGACGATCATTGCCAAGGTACGGAGGGAGGGCTGGTGTGCTCAGGGTTGTCTGTCGTTAGCAAGGATTCTAAGGTGGGTGGCTTTCTAGTCGATTGTCTAGTCAGTATGGCGATGCGATGCTGGCGTCGGGTTACCAGGGAGCTTCGCAAGCCTTTGCGAGGTTCATTGCCAAGGCACCGAGGGCGGGAGGGTTTCATGGTTGCCTGTTGTAAGGGGAGATCCTTCTTGGGTGTGCGTTTTATTTGGGTAAGGGGAGTTGGAGACGGGAAGGAAGGAAAGAGGAATGGGGAGGAGAGTCGAGAATGGTGGTGCGCATGGTAATGCCACTTTTGGGTTTGAGGGACTCAGGGATTTCCAGCCACCGCTTGCTGTGTGAATAGAATATTGGTAGATTAAAGAAAGACTGGGAGAAAAAAAGGGGGGTAGTGGAGACGTGGAGAAGGGCTGGACGAGGGAGTGAAGGGGTGAGCAGGATAGAGGCGAGGGGGGGAGGTGGAGGATGCGAAGTTATTGCGAACGGCTGTGATGCAGTTATTTAGGGTGTGAAAAGGAGTGCGCCCCACAGGTTTGGGGCAACTTTTCAAATTTCAAAAGATTTTGAACCCCTCCTTTCAAATGTATACCGGAGCTTTAAGGATTCAGCAGCAAAGTGAGTCTTAGTGTATTCTGCTCCGTATTAAGTGTGTCGGATTACACTCAGGCACATGTGTTTGCAGATGCCTTGACCTGCATCACCTTGAGGAGGCTATATCGACTGAGCTATGCTCTGACCCTCGGGTTTGTGTTTCTACTTGCCTGTACCGTACCCTTTACAGGAGGGTCCACTGGCTCTGTACAAGGGTATTTTCCCTACACTGCTGGGTATCGCCCCATATGCTGCACTCAACTTTGCATCGTGAGTCCAATTTGCGTTGTGCTCTGCTCAATTGGGAACAGGGGGAAGGGTGGGCTGTATCCCCCTTAACCCGTATGCCCTGTAGCTTTCCCACCCTGGCGTGCCTTTTGCAGACTCCTAGCGTCTCACTCTTTTGCTCGTGGAACCCTTTTGCTGTGGGCATCGGTTCGGAGTATGTCTAATGTTGTGTCCCTTCACCTATTACTCACGCGCCTCGCAACTGTTTCCACCCTTATGCGCCACCACACCAGCAGTTTCCCCTATCTCGTTCGTTATTTTTCCACCCTATAGATTCCATTTCAAGGCTTTGCTTGCACCCATGCCACTTTCCACTTCTCGCCAACCTCCCGGTCCTGTCTCATTCTTGGACACCTTCCCTTCTTTTCTCCCCTTCTCTCTTCTTATCCCATCACTCGCTCCTCCCTCACTCAGATACGACCTGCTCAAGTCCTCACTGTACAAGTCTGGTTTAGCAAACGACTCGTCTCAAAAGGCACCTTTCTCCCATTGTCTCTTCTTATCATATCGCCCCGTCCCCCTCACTCAGATACGACCTGCTCAAGTCCTCACTGTACAAGTCTGGTGTAGTAAAAGAGTCGATCCCCAATAACTTGCTCATGGGGGCGACAGCTGGCACCATTGCCACCACTGTGTGCTACCCTCTAGATACTGTGCGGAGGAGAATGCAGGTTCGTGCCCCTTCCCCCCCCCCTTCTCCCCTCCTCCCCCCCCGCTTTTCTCTCTCTCTCTCTCGCTCTCTCTCTCTCCACTCGTATTCCATCCTCCCGTCATCCTCCTCTTTGTCGTCTCGCTGTGCAATTGACCTGTTGCAACCGCTTGCAGCCCTCTCAATGATGCCCATGCAGGCAGTGTCATTTTATCTAATGCTGCTCTGCGAGTGTGTATCTGCGCACCGTTCTCTGACTGTGTGAGGGTGACAACAGATGAAGGGCAAGGTGTATAGCAACACAATGGATGCATTTGCAACTATGGCAAGGACAGAAGGCGCACGGTAAGGAAGAGGTCCATGACTAGCCAAATCAGACCGTGTCATGTCAGGCCATCCCATCACATGCCATGCCTTGCCATGTCAGGCCATCCCATCACATGCCATGCCTTGCCATGTCAGGCCATCCCATCACATGCCATGCCTTGGCATGCCATGTCAGGCCATTGACATGCCTGTTTGATGATCCCACGCTGTTTTTTGTTCCATCCCACCATATTGCAACAAGGTGACCAATGTTATAACGTGCAAAAGTTTGCTCTTCTCTGTCGTGCTTGTCCTTGTTTCAGGGGCTTCTACCGCGGGTGGTGGGCCAACACTCTCAAGGTCGTACCCCAGAACTCCATCCGCTTCGTGGCGTATGAGTTTTTCAAAACGATGGCGGGAGTCAAGAAGGCAAAGACCGACACGTGATCCCAAGACAAGCTTGCGTTATAATCAGGAGATTTATTCACCCCTTGTTAACCTTTGGTGTTGACTGTGGTGACTTGCTAGTTCATGCAATATTATATTCGTTTCCATTTTTAAGGTTACACTATTTCATTCACAGTTCTGCTGTCAGAGTAAGATGCGCAGTGATTGGTTAGCTTCCCTGCTAAAACTGACGGACTTTGATCGAAGCTGAGAAGCTTTCCTGCGACTGCAGTGAAGTTCGCAGCAACCTCGCAGAAGTTTCACAACACAGTTTGTGGTGGTGAAGGACTGGCCGCGTGAGTGGCGGGTGGTGGCTGGTTGGTGGAGAGAGATCTGTCCAGCGGAGAAAAAATGCTTCTGGCGGGCACAATTCACCTTCACCAGTCAATACGCGCTGCGATACGTTTGTCTGCATGCTTACAGTATCACCATTCAAACCACGTTACCCTACCTGGTGAGCAGCTAGTGCACTGCCCCCAACATGTTTGAAATCTATGCGACCCTGAGTAAATAAGAATGAAGTAACGCGGCGCGACCATCGATTGGAAACAGCAGACAATCTCTCTGTTTTAAGTAATATGGTTCGGCTCATCTACCCCAACGTGACGGGTAGATCATAAATACCCCAAGCATCTTCACAAAGAAAAACAATAACAAAAGCCAACAGTTCCACATGGTTGCATGGCTTTCCCCAAACCAACCAATGCTGTGCCACGTGAAATTTGGTGAGATCAGCGGAAAGAACGGGGATAAAATATGCTCATTTAGCCACTTCATTGGTCGAATTAGTCAGATGTGCAGTCAAGGCTGGTGTTTGCCTCATGCGCCTCGGTCACTTGCATTTTCTTGCTCTGTCAATAGTAGCGCTTAGGCTGGTTTCTGGCTCCCCAAACTTACCCTGAATCGCGACCGCTCTAGCTCCATGCGATTTACGCATGACAGTTTCGTGAATCACAAACGCACAGGGTCAAGTTGGTGTTGAAAGCTATTAGAAGGTTGAACTGGGGTTTAGAGCTCGAAGTAGGAGAGACTAGCCGCGAATACCATAACGGAGTGGGAGGGATGGGGTGGGGAAGACAGGCAGAGCGAGCAACTTCAAACTAAGTATTGTTTTTCGATTTGGACGAGGACAACTACCCCGAGTTTGTGTAATCGACATAATACATTGGGTTGGGTTGAAGTGCCCGCCCTTCGAGGCACAAGCAGGGTTGTGCGCGAACTCCAGCCAATCCGAGGCATTCCCTGCGCTCGCGCTTCACAAGATCTGTTGTCGGTGGAACCGCGATTTGGCCGTGGTGGTGAGCTGCATCCATCGCAGCAGCCCCACACAGAACCGGGCAAGGGGAAAGGCCCGCGGATCCGCGCGCGCAGAATGTATGCGAGGGTTGTTCTATGGATAGTTGCTGGTAACGCACTAGTACCCTCCAGTGATGTATTGAATATAGTTATTTGTTTCCGCTTAAAAGTTTACGAGCCAATACACTGTACCGGCATTGTGCCTCCACAAACCTACAGGGTCGCTGGTACAGTAGTCAAGACGTCTTTACATATATATCACCCTCGAACATCCTGGGCTAGCAGTATTACCCTTTTGGGTAAGCAGGAACCTGTTAGCATTTTCCGATCTGAAAACCATGTGAGCCGAGTTGATCAAGTGCATAGTACTGCGGGGCTGGTATGTGTATCAGTCACAGCCCGCGTGCGTGGTGGTGCTGCCTTTCTGCGTGACTCGGGGAGGTTGGGGAGGGGAGGGGAATGGACGGAATGGAAGACAAGAACCTACACAGGCTAGGGGAAAGTACAGGTATAGCAGAGTAGACAGGAGGACCGATAGGCTGTCTGATCCAAAGCAGGTGGAGCTGAGTGTCCAGTCCATGGCGCAGGAGCCTGTAACCAGCCAGGCGGAAGCTCTCGAATAAAGCGTTCTGTCTTGTTTGGACCTAATTTTCATAAGCGCTTCGTTATATGCATCTGCTTCTCATGCGAAAGCGGACCCTTCGTTTTGCCCGACTCAGCTGACGTTGCAAAGTGCTCGCTTTGCAGAATATACATGGAACTTTGAGTCCTCTGTGTTAGGCGTTCTGACTTTTCGTGCTTCTAATACGGAGCTCAATTCTAACCTTTTCACGACCGTACTCAATCAACAGGGAGGGCCGAGATAGGTACCCATTAGGGCAGTAGGGTTAGGCAGGACCGCGCAACTGGGTAGTGAGCGCGCGTTTCAGAATTCTGCGTTACATAACACGGTCGTTTGGGAGTTCTCAGTGTTCAGATAGTCAGCGCGCCGCGAATGGCTATGGCATCAATAGACCACCCAGTCGAGCCAGGCTTGCTTCGCGGCGATAATTACGGCGCGACTCTCGGCGCTGATTACGGCGCAGGACACGCTGCTGGCGCGAATCACGGCGTCAGTCGCGGCCGAGAGAGAATGACTTCCCTCGAGAAAATAGCGGAGCAGGCGCGCCCCGACCCGACCATGGTGTTCTCGTCGCTGTCGTCGTCGCCGTCGCAATCGCCGAATGACGGTTTTCGCACGCCGTCGCCTGAGTCGCCTCGAAGGGCGCCGGTCGCCGTCGCGTCGTCGGCAGAGGGTGCCGTGCGATCGTCGTCGCGATCGGAGTCGCGCGGAAAAGGCGGCGGCGGCGGCAGCTCCCGCCTCTCGTGGCGCTCGCTGTCGCCGATCCGCGGATCGCGGTCGTCGACGTGGCGTTACACACACGACGACGACGGCGGCGGCGGAGACGGCGATCGGAGCGGGCGACAGGAGGAGAAGAAAATCGTTGTGTACAAATCGTCTGGTAATTTCTAGCCGGAAACGAGTGGTTTTGGGCGACGAGGGGGGTGAGGGCGATGTGGGGGTTGAGGGGAAACACGGGATCGCGGGGCTAAAACAGAGCGGAGAAGCTTATAATGGCGGAAGAAACTGGTGTAGCCTGATTCACCTTCTCGCCTGCATGTCATTTTACCTTACTCTGCCGAATTGCCGCATCTTCCCACAACCTCGTCGCGTAACCCTAGCCTTTCCCTTCCGCCTTCCGCCTTCCGCTTTCCCCTCACCCGATGTCTCTTCCTCTCTCCCCTCCCGTCGCTCTTCCCCGTCACTCCCCCAATCGTTCCCCCAATCAGCTCCGCTCAGCCAGCGCGCGTCGGACAAGCTGCGCGCGGAGCAGCGCCTCGCGGCGGTGCTCGCGCTCATCCCGACGCGCCTCGCCGCGTCGGGGTCGCTCTCGCGCGGCTCGCTGCACATGGCGCAAGGCGTGCGCGGGAGCAGCCAAGACGCGGCGGTCCTATGGGAGGTGAGACTCCCCTCCCCGCCTTCAGACGCGCCTCGAGTGAAGTCATCCCTTCCTTCACCCGCAATTTCAGGCGCCTCAAACGGCGTGTACGGGAGCACTCATAAAGTAGCTGTCTTTTCAGGGAGTGAAACTCCCCGTGTGTCATCGTCACCGTCGCTGGCTGCTCTGCGCGATTCTTTCCCCTTCACCTTCCGCCCACCCTTCCTCCTCTTCTCCCCCCGCCCACCCTTGCGCAATTTCTCCCCCCCTCTCTCCCCCCCCAACCCCCTCCGCCATTTTTCCCCCTTCCGCTCTTCTTCAAATTCCTCCTTTCGCGTGCCTCCCCTTCGCTATCCTCCGCAGCGCTTCGGCGGTCGCCCGGACAGCGCGCTTTGCGCCGTGTTCGACGGGCACGGCCCGTTCGGCCGCGTCGTCTCCTCCTACGCCGCCGCCACCCTCCCGCCTCTCCTCCTCGACTCCCACCTTCTCGCGCGCGCCGCCGCCGCCGACGCCGCCGCTGGCACTGCGGACGCCCCGGGCGGAAGCCCAGCGGGAGGAAGCGGGGGGGGCGCGGTGCCCGGCGCGGGGGACAGGGCGGCGTGGCGCGCGAAGATGCACGACGTGTTCGCGAGCGTGGAGCGCGACGTGCGCGTGCACCCGCACATCAACCCGCTGAATAGCGGCAGCACTGCTGTGGTGGCCGTGCTGCAGGTGAGAGAGTGAGGAGCACGGGGGGAGTGCGGGGGGGTTAGCGGGGTGAGGGGTGTTTGCGAGCGTGGAGCGCGACGTGCGCGTGCACCCGCACATCAACCCGCTCAACAGCGGCAGCACTGCTGTTGTGGCCGTGCTGCAGGTGGGGAAAGGGGAAGGGGTGGTGGGAGGGGGGTTGGAGGTGGCGGAGAGGGTGGAAGGGGCGGAAGTGGGGGGAGGGGGCATGGGGGACCAGGAGGAGGTGGCGCTCAGGGGTTTTGGGGGGGGGGGGGGGGGGGGGGGGGGAGGGGGGGATTGTAAGCCCAGCGGGGGCGCTTATAGCGCGTGCGCCGCTGTGGTGGCCGTGGTGCAGGTGAGACGGGGGATGGGGGTGGGGATGGGGGTGGGGGTGGGGGTGGGGGAAAGGGAGGAAAGGGAGCGTTTGTGAGGAGTGAGGGGAGTTTCAGGTGGGGCTAACGTTGCAGTGCAGTGCACTAACTGTGGGCAGGGCAGGCACCCATACGCGCATGTCACAACCCCCGCTTCCCCCCTCTCTCTCTCTCGCTCCCTCACATACATCCCACTCACTCTCCCCCTTCCTCTCCCCCTTCCTTCCCCCCTTTCCCCCTCCTTCTCCGCCCAGGGGCGGGACCTAGTGGTGGCGTGGGTGGGGGACAGCCGCTGCGTCTTGCTCACTCTCCCGCTTCTCTCGTCCCCCACTCCCCCTTTTTTCCTCTTTCCCAGGGGCGGGACCTAGTGGTGGCGTGGGTGGGGGACAGCCGCTGCGTCTTGCTCACTCTCCCGCTTCTCTCGTCCCCCACTCCCCCTTTTTTCCTCTTTCCCAGGGGCGGGACCTAGTGGTGGCGTGGGTGGGGGACAGCCGCTGCGTCGTGGGCCTTGTCTCTCCCCCCACTCCCCTTGCTGGCGGAGCCAGCGCACACGGGGGACGCGAGGGGCATGGGGTAGACAGCAGCGGTAGCGGTGCTTGTGGCGCTGGTGGCGGTGGTGGCGGTGGTGGCGAGAGGGGTTGTGGCGATGTGGAGGTGGAAGCGCTACAGCTCACCACGGACCACAAGCCCGCACATCCTGGTGAGTGCAGACCTGTGTGTGTGTGTGTGTGTGTGTGTGTGTGTGTGTGTGTGTGTGTGTGTGTGTGTGTGTGCCACCTTCCCCTCTCCTTCCCTCTCCTTCCCCTCTCCTTCCCCTCTCCTTCCCCTCTCCACCCCACCCCTGTGCTGTCGACGGTAAGGGTTAGGGCGCACTGCTATGTCTCCCCTCTTCCTCTCCCCACTCCCCTCCCCCCTTCCCCCAACCAGATGAGCGGTTTCGGATCGTGGTATTGGGAGGCCGTGTGCATGCAATCCCCAGGGATCCTGAGCGCATGGTTGCTGCAGGAGACAGTAACTGGAGCGAGCATGGCCTCTGCAGCACGAGGGAGCGGCCCTTGTTTCCATACTTTCAACCTGCTCTGCTCTCCCCTCTACCCTCCTCTCTCCGCTCCCCTCCTCCTTCCTCTTGCCCCCTCCCCTCTCCCCTCTCTCTCTTCTCACTCCTTCTCCTCCCCCCTCCCCTCCCCACACCCAGAGGAGCGGTTTCGAATCGTGGTCGCGGGGGGCCGAGTGCACGCCATTCCGGGGGATCCCGAGGGCGTGGAGCGCGCATGGCTGCCACACGAGGAGGCGCCCGGGATCGCCATGTCTCGCTGCCTCGGCTCTGCTCTCCCTCTCTGCTGCTCCTTGCATCCTCGAGCCTGTCTCCTGTGGCTGCTCTGCTCAGGCTGTGCTGTGCAACCAGCACTCCCCTTTCCTGTGCTTCATCATGCTCTCCTCCCACCTCCCCCTCCCCTTTCCCTCCACCCCCCCCACTTCCCCTCCTCTCTGAACCAGAGGAGCGGTTTCGGATAGTGGTCGCGGGAGGCCGAGTGCACGCCATTCCCGGCGATCCCGAGGGGGTGGAGCGCGCATGGCTGCCACACGAGGAGGCGCCCGGGATCGCCATGTCTCGCTGCCTCGGCTCTGCTCTCATGCGCGCGCACGGGGTGACTGCTGACCCAGACGTGCGGTTCCTGAGGCTAGGGCCGCAGCACCGCTTCATGGTGCTGGCTTCTGATGGGGTGAGTCTCAGTGGGTGATGGGGTGCATGTGGTGGGGGGGGGGGGGAGGAGGGGGGGGCTCTGCTCTCATGCGCGCGCACGGGGTGACCGCTGACCTGGACGTGCGGTTCTTGAGGCTAGGGCCGCAGCACCGCTTTATGGTGCTGGCAACCGATGGGGTGAGTGGTGTTTGGTGCGTGATGGGGTGAGGATAGATGGTGTGGGCTTGGGTCGACGGGGGTAAGGCGTGATTTTATTTCTTTCTTCCTTTTTTTTTTTTTTTTTTTTTTTTGGTTTGTCTGTTTGTTTTTTTTTTTTTTTTTTTACTGCCTTGGGAACCACCTCTTATGGGACATGCCATTCGAATAAGCTGTGACTTTTGTGCTATTCAACTAGGCAGTCATGGCTATGTTTGCCATGCCACCCCGCCAGCTAGCCCTCCCCTCAGGGGGCAGCAGCAGCAGCAGCAGCAGCAGCAGCAGCGGTTTTATCTCTTCCTTTCTTTCAAAATCCAACTCGTTTCCCTTTTACCCACAAAAAACTCCCCGCCCTATCCAATACAGGTGTGGTAGCCATAGTCGCCAGCTCGCCCTCCCCCCAGGAGGCAGTAGCAGCTGCCATCTGTGCCAGCAGCAAGTTTTCAGGAAATACCTTATCTTCCCGTCCCGCTTTCCACAACAGGTATGGGACGTGGACGTTCTGTCCAACGAAGCAGTCGTGGCTATAATTGCCAGCTCGCCGTCCCCTCAGGAGGCAGCAGCGGCCGTGGTGCGAGCAGCGGAGCTGCAATGGCACATGCGCCCACCCCCTCTCACTCCCCGTCCCTCTCCCCCCTGTCGTTCCCCTCCCGCAGGTGTGGGACGTGCTGTCTAACGAAGCCGTGGTGGCCATTGTTGCCAGCTCGCCCTCCCCTCAGGAGGCAACTCATATCCTCCCTCAAACGTGCTTACCCCTAACTTCCTTCCCCCAAACGTCCTTCTCCCCTCCCACAGGTGTGGGACGTGCTGTCCAATGAAGCCGTGGTGGCTATAATTGCCAGCTCGCCGTCCCCTCAGGACGCAGCAGCAGCCGTGGTGCGAGCAGCGGAGCTCCAGTGGCACATGCGCCCGCCCCCCCTCAGCACCGATGACATTTCTGCTGTCGTTTACTTCTTCCATCACCCCTCTGCTGCTGAGGGTGCTGCTGCTGGTGGTGGTACTGCTGCTGCTGCTGCAGCTTCTGTTGCTGCTGCGTCACCATCAGCATTAGCGTCAGCGTCTGTGGGAAGCAGCATGAGCAGGGGTAGCAGCGGGATCGGTGGGGAAAGGGGAGGTGGGACCGGCAGCACTGGCAGCAACGGCAGCACCTGCAGTGCTGGCAGTGCTGGAAGCGGGAGCAGCCCTGAGAGCACAAGCACTCTCACCATCACCACCACCACCACCATCACCACCACCACCAGCAGCACCAGCAGCGGCAGCAGCGCTGCCACCACTACCACCCGCCAAGTCTTGAGGCTATCTGCTGCTTCGGAACCCTCCCTCCCTGCTGTCCGGATCTCCCACAGCCCTAGAGCCTCCTCCTCCTCTCCTTCCTCCTCCGCCGCCGCTGCGCCTTCTCCCTTGCTTCCTCTCCATGCCACGTCTCTTTCCCGCAGATTCGTTTCAGCTGCCGCCTCTGCTCCTGCCTCTTCCAGAACAGCACCCCTCCTTTCCTCTCCCTCCCCTCCTCCTGCTCCTGCTTCTGCTTCTGCTTCTGCCTTAGCTGCTGCTGCTTCTGCAGCGGTGCTTCCCTCCTCCCCCTCCCCATGCCGACTAGACCCTATGGAGAGAAGCGCTAGTGAAGGCACTGGGCTGACTAGAAAGGGCGCCGCTACAGACAGTACTGACCCTGCTGCTGCTGCTGCGGCGGCGGCTGCTGCGGCTGCTGGTGTTGCGGGTAGCAGTGGTGTGGGGAGCATGAAGAGGCTCGGGAAGGAGCGGGAGAGGGGTGTGGATGAGGAGAAGGAGAAGGAGAGGGCGAGAGAGAGGTTTGCTGCAGCTGCCACTGCTGCTGCTGAGATAGCAGCCGCCAGTGCAGGTGGCAGCACTGGTGCCAGTGGTGGCACTGGTAGCAGTGGAGCTAGTCATACTCACACAATACCCAATGGTTACGCTCCCTTGCACTCCTCATCCTCCCCTCCGGTTCCTGTTTTCACCGCTCTTACTCCAACAGACCAAGTCCCCTCCTCGTCCTCCTCCTCCTCCCCTCTGCAAGCACTCTCCCTGTCTGGATCGTTCACTTCACCCACTTACACCACTAACCACAAAAGTAACAGTTACCGAAACAGGAACCACAACAGCAACAGCAACAGCAACAGTAACACCCAGACTCCAGCCAATACCCCGCCCATCCGTCCTAACAGTCCCTCCAGGGCTCTTCGCTCCATGGGAGCTGCGATACGGTCGAGTATTCGCGCCCTCTCTCCTTCCCGCCGCCACCACTCCGCCTCCTCCCCCTCTTCCTCTCCTGCTGCTGCTGCTTCCTCTCCTCGCCATTCGATTGCATTTGGTTATGTCCTTTCTCGCACGTTCAACCGTGCCCCAGGTGCTGCTACTGCTGCTAGTGCTGCCACTACTGCTAGTGATCCTGCCGCCGTCGCAGCCGCTGCTGCTTCTGGTGCTGCCGGTGGTGTCGCCGCGGCTTTTGATGGTGCAGCTACTGGTGCTGGCTATGGTGCTGCTGCCACCCCTTCTGTTGGCAATGCCACAGGACAGGGGCCTGTTGGTCACGAATCCATGTCCAATGGTAGTAAAACGCCGTATGGCACTTCAATAAATGGAGGGAGGTACGAGGTGCCATGAGAACGTGACTGCGGTCCGGTCGGGTGGTGTGGTAAGGAGAAAATGCTAGGGGGATGGCATCATGGCAGGCAGGATTGAGTGCGTCAGCATCTAGCTGATGCCTTGCTAGCAGGCTGACGAAGTTGGTTTGGGCTGGACCGAGTTGGGCGTTTGTTTCATGCTAACATAAATTTGACCAAGTCTTGCCTGCATTATAATTGTGTGCTTGCTGTGTTCAATGTTTGCATATTTGTTCCTGGTATGAGCTTGCTAATTTAGTTTGGTGGTATGTTGGCTTGTTTGTGTAAGCTGAAGTTTATTCTGTACTCTTCTTGATAAAGAGAACATGAGTTGTCCTTTATTATTGCCGTGCATGACTGTATTGCGACTACAACAGTCACAAATGTGCAAGCCCCCAAACAAATACGGCTCTAACCGGGATATTTTTCCCCCACCCATGATAACGGAAAGTTACTTAGGGCGCATTCGTAGCCTGTGTCAGACATCAGGTCAGACCCGAAGTGGAGGCTCGGAAGACCCGAAGTGGCTCGTTTGTGAGGCAAATCCGAGTTCGGATGAGCCAAATTGGAGACCAAGGACTTTTGACCTGAAGTCTGACACGGGCCACGAATGCGCCCTTAGCTTCCGTTCCGAGCACATATGCTTGAGTGGCTGGGCAGCCAAGCTTGCCATTGCGGTTTGGGAAACCGCAAAATCGAATAGAAGTGTTGTGGGGTGTGGACGAGTCGCAGGTGAATGGTAACTGGGAGGGAAATCAGAAATTTGGAATCGCAACCGTCGCAGCGACTCACGACTCCTCGTCTTCCTCCTCCTCGGCCGCTTCGTTTTCCCTTCTATCTCTTCCCTCCCTTCCCATTCTGTTCCGTCCCAACTTGAAGCCTTGACGGACCTTCTCCTCCAACCCTGTCACGGCCGAAATACAGAGTGTAGAAACTCCGTTTCTGCGTCCGAGTGTTTGCCTTCGTTTTCGTCTAGATTTTGCGAAATGGCTTGCTTCCTCACCTCGCGTAGCCATACCCGTTTGAAACAGCGGCGCTTGGCATTCTCTACTCTCCCAGCTCGACCGAACAACCACTGCACTAGACGGTTGGTTAGGATTACCCGCTGCCCTCACCACTCGCGTTTCGGCGTGGCCAGACAGACGGTTAGACGGAAAACACTAGGCCCCACTAGCGGTCGTATCGTACCCACTGGACGGTCACTGTGCAGTGGGCATTGCAGTGGCGTGTCGCGCCGTTCTGCGGGTGTGACTGTTGAATCTAACTGCTTGCTCCGAGAGAAGCCTTTGACTCTCCCCCTTACCCACATACCCCGCACTCAGCCGTCTGGAGCGCGTGGAAATATATTCCCACCGAGTTGGTAAAGCTAACCATGTTGGTACCATCTGTTTCTGGTACGGAAAACCGCCGTGAGCAGGAGCTTCTAAGGGCCACTTGGTGGAACGGTGGGGATTGTTACACCTTGTTATTCCCACTACTGCTATTAGTAGTAATACGTCCTTCTGGACTACTCCACCTTGCGATATGGCGGTGACCGTGTCTGTTCGATCTGTCCAGCGTCGGCGGAAAGGGGGAACTTGAGCCGTCGGACATGTGTAGTATACCGTCCAGTCTTTGAGTCGACTCGGAAATCACCGTCCAAATCTTGTTACTTTTACCGCACTTTTCGGCAAGGCCGAGCGGACGGCGTTGCACCGCAACAGCAACTTGTTAATGTTGCTGCTGTGCTGCTGTTTGTTCCACAAAGAAGTTCTAGCTGTGTATGTTTGTTTCTAGCCTGCCTGCCGCATCAGCGTGCCCTGCTTGCTTGCTTCCACACAGAGAATGCGAACGGCCCAAAGCCGCGGATTCTGATCCATTTGTGAGGCGTCTCAAAACGATGCGAACGGCCCAAGGCCATGGATTCCGATACGATCCGACGCCTCCCGAAGGAACACAGCGCCAACGCAACAAGTTCGGGATAGCACTACCACTACCTCTCGTAGTAGAAGCTGAAATGTGGCCGCACTGCAGCTGCTGCTAGTAGTAGTGGTGACGAGTAGTGCTAGCAGAGGTAGCTGCACTGCTCCTGTCGGTGCTCTCTGCCCTTGCCTGCCTTCCGAGGTTCTATCCGACTCGAACGGCCACCGTTTCAGGTCACGGTGCACCCCGTAGGAACGCCACCGAGAGAATTGCCACAAGTACCGTGGGCGGCCCACCAGTGACACCACAGTAGCACGGCCGTCCCGAGTGCCAGTATCGCCACAGTAGTACAGTACCCATTGTTGAACAATACCTTCCCGAGTACCAGCACCCGGTACCCGGCACCCTGCTGCCATAGCATGGACGGTAGATTTGCGAGCCCTACTTCTAGTGGGGTTTCGAAGCAGCCATGGCAATGGCCGCTGCCTCTTCGTCTCGTAACTAGAAGTTAGTTACATTCACCGACCATCCTGAGCTACCAGGGGTGGGCTATTGGTGCTTTCGAGAATTCTCAAAAGCGGTTCTTACATTATATAAGAACCAGGCTGACACCTTTGGAGTGACGTCTCAGAAGGCTGGCACTGGCAGGCGCCGCATTCTGCCAAGCGCACTGAGTCCACTTACTCCTTGTGAGATTTGAAGTGTTTTTAGACGTCTCAAAACACTTCTAATTTCATATGCCAAGCGCAGTGAGTGCACTTACTCCTTGCCCTTCCTCCACTTACTCTCTGCCAGAGGGTGGTAAGACGTTGGGAGTATATAACTGTCCTCATAAGGCCGTCCTGCTAATAAGCGCCACAGGGCGGCGGCGCCTCTGCGTCAATCGCATTGAGGCAGTGGCAGTGGGATTTCTGATGCGCCTCACAGGTCGCCTTAATCGCGTTCAGGAAGGGGTATTGGGAGTCGCACGGTGTGCTGCGGCTGGTGAACACGCGAAAGAGCCAACCCTCTCTGTCTTACACCTTTTAGAAGCAGCAGAGCGGCGGTGTTGTGCAGGGAATCAGTAAGAGGCAGCAAGAACAGCAGCAGCAGCAGCAGCAGCAGCAGCAGCAGCATGCGGCCGTTTCAGCAGCATGGAGCCGTAGTGGACCAAGGGCGGCAAAGTATTAGCTTCAGATGTGGCGGAACCGACGGAGAGGGGAGGAGATGGAGCAGGCACATCGGGCCAAACATGATGAGGCTTGAGAATGGGAAACAGCTAGCCCAAAAACATCAGAAGGCGGCTGATCCTGCTGCCATGCACCTGCTTTCAATACAGGGCCACCCGACGTACACGCTGCCACTGCTGCCACTGCTACTGCTGCTTCTTCTGGCTGGAACTAACAACTCATTGGTCCTTGTCCGGGTGGCAGCAGCAGCATCACCAGCAGCAGCAGCAACAGCAGCAACAGCATCGTCGGAGTCACTTACATGGCACAGCAGCAGAAGGATCCAGCACGAGAGGAGCCGGCCACACCTTTCCAGAAAGCTTACCCGGCATCTACCCACAGCAGCACCTCAAGGGCAAGCGGAGGACTTGCAGCAGACGTACGCAAGTCGAGACGCCGTTTATGGTGGTGAGAGGAAGGAAGAATATGCAGGTAGCGGTGTGGTGTGGGAAGAGAAAATGGGCGAGAAAAGGATGCGCGTGAAAGAGATGGTAAGCTGCCAGGAGGAGGGATGGCTGGGGAAGAGATGAGCGCGCTGCATCAGCAGCAGCAGCATGTTTGGGAGCAGCAGCAGCAGCAGCACTCTTGGGAGCAGCAGCAGCAGCAGCAGCAGCAGGTGGAGCAGGAGCAGCAGCAGTGCCCGTACATCCCTGGTGTTCTACCGACATGCGGCATGCACCGAGAGGATGAGACAGACGAGGAGAAACTGTTGCTGCAGCTGAAACACCAGCGTGGATTGACGCCACAGAAACAACAGGACCGGCAGAACCAGCAGGACCTGCAGCAACCGCATCAGCAACAGCCCCGGCAGCAGCAGCAGCGACGGCAGAGCCAGGAGCAGCCGCAGCAGCAGCAGCAGCAGCAGCACGAGCAGGGGAAGCGGCAGCTGCAGCGGCGGAGGAGGCTAGCGAACACAACGCCGGTGACGTATCGTGGAGGCACCATGATGCACAGGCCCATCCGCGTGCACGTGGTGTGGTACGGCAGTGCGTTCACAGAGCGATTCAAATCCGCTGTTCGGCTCTTTGTCAGCTCCCTTGCGCCCTCTGCTGACCCTGCTGTCACTGGTGAGTAAGGAGAGAGGGGAGAGGGGAGAGGGAGAAGGGAGAGAGGGGAGAGGGAGAATTAAGAGTGAGGAGAGGAGGGTGAAGAGTGAGGGGAGGGATGAGGAGAGAGTGTACCTACAAATTGGACATTCAGGCAGTAGAGGTGGCACCATGATGCATCGGCCCATCCGTGTGCACGTGGTGTGGTATGGCAGTGCGTTCACAGAGCGATTCAAGTCCGCTGTTCGGCTCTTTGTCAGCTACCTTGCGCCCTCTACTGACCCTGCTGTCACTGGTGAGTGAGGAACTAGGGGAGAGGGGAGAGGGGATAGTGATGGGACAGGGGAGAGGAGTGAGGAGAGGCGGGAGAGGGGTGCGGAGTGAGGAGAGGAGAGAAGGCGGAAGAGAGAAAGGACAGCCCTGTGGAACCCAAAGAGTTTTGTGCAGGAGCAGCAGCACCAGACATAGCACACACCAGCACACAGACATTAGTAGAACCACAGTAAAACATATCTAGAACCGAATTAATTCCTTTCTTCATACCCCTCCTCAGTGCCACTCAACTGACCGAACCTCGTCTGATTCGCACAACGTCTAGTGATGCGGCTTGAATAAGTCGTCGCCAGACGTTCCGCCTACTTCATCCCCCACTCCCAGTGCCCCTCCGGTGGAACATCCCCCCCTCCAGTGCCATGGCAGGAACGGCCACAGCGCCTCAAAATTATTTTCCCCTCCTTCATACCCTCCTATCCTCTCCTTGCTCTCCTCCTTCCCCTCCCAGTGACCCCGTGGTGGAACGCCAACTGTAACGCTTTGATTACATTCTGCCCTCTCTCGTACCACTTCCCCCTCCATTATCTCACCTCCCGCTCTTTTCCCCACTTCTTCCCTTCCCAGTGCCCCTCTGGTGGAACGTCAACCGCATGTATTACGACAGTGACGGCTGCAACGTCACAGCCAACATCACCCTGGGCCAAGAAGCAACCACCATTCTCATTGTTCCCTCCTCTCTTCCTGCTTATTTGGAAACGCCTCAAACACCCCCCCCCCCTCCCTCATTTCCTCCCTCATTTCCTCCCTCATTCTCCTCCCTCATTCTCCTCCCTCATTCTCCTCCCACCCTGTCCCAGTGCCCCTCTGGTGGAACATCAACACCGCATGTATTACGACAGCAATGGTTGCAACGTCACAGCCAACATCACTCTGGGGCAAGAAGCAAGCAACCACCGTTTTCCTTGTTCCCTCCCACTTACCCCTTGCCCCTCCTCCCCCCCCCCACCACCCTGTCCCAGTGCCCCTCTGGTGGAACGTAAACCGCATGTACTATGACAGCGACGGGCGCAACGTCACAGCCAACATCACCCTGGGCCAAGAAGCAACTGTAACCAGCAGCGGTAACCTGACCACCTTTGACGCCACAGTGGACGTGGTACGGCAGGTTTTGGACGCAGGGAAGCTGCCGATAAGCGCGGACGACATATACCTGCTGCTGACCGATAAGAACACGGTTCAGAGCGGTTCGAAGGAGAACGCTGGGGCCCGTTGGTGCTCTAGCTACTGTGCCTGGCACACGTTCTTTGACTATAACACCACCACCACTGCTGCTGCTGGTGGTAGCAGCATACCCAGCAGCATTGTTGCCAAGATCGCATGGGTTGGAGACCCCACCATCTACGTAAGTTGCCTCCTCTCACTAGCTACTGTGCTTGGCACACGTTCTTTTACTATAACACCACCACCGCTGCTGCTGCTGCTGCCACTAATGCTGGTGGTAGCAGCATACCCAGCAGCATTGTTGCCAAGATCGCCTGGGTTGGAGACCCCACCATCTACGTAAGTTGCCTCCTCCTCACATGTGCCTTGCCTTGCATATCTTGCTGAGCTGACTTCTGAGTCGACTCAAAAGTCAAGATCGCCTGGGTTGGAGACCCCACCATCTACGTAAGTTGCAACCATCTAAAATGGTTGGGGTCTTGCGTCTTTCGCTTGCGTCTTTCGCTTGCGTCTTTCGCTTGCGTCTTTCGCTTGCGTCTTTCGCTGATCCAACTGGGTCTCTTGTCCCATGTCGCTTCCTACCCTTATCTGATCGTTCCCTTGTCAAATCTGACTGATTATACCCCCTCTCATTCTCGTTCGCACCGTTCCCCTTCTGCTCGCTTTTTCCCTGCATTCCCTCACACTCCTTCACGATCCCTCAAGCTCTCTCACACTCCTAGAAAGAGACCCACGGACCCCTCCAAAACCTCATTTCCCCCTCACCCCTCTCCTTACACCTCAACCCAACCCTCTTTTCCCTCCTGTACCCGTCTTCTCAAACCTCCTTTACCAGTGCCCCGGCTGCGGCCTCACCACGCCTTCCCTCGACTTTCTCCCATCCCCCATAGGGATCCCTGTACACGAGTCAAGTCTTGAGTCGACTCAAAAACCTTCCCCTTCCCCTTTCCCTTCTCGTCTTCCCCTGTCCTCCTCCCCCCCAGTGCCCTGGCTGTGGTCTCACCACCCCTCTGCTCGACTTCTTCCCATCCCCCAACGGCGATCCCGTGCACGAGGCAATCATCAGCTTCATTGCCCACGAGATCGCCGAAACCGCCTCCTCCTGGAACATGCGCACCTGGCTCGACTCGGGCCTTTTCGAAAACGCCGACAAATGCCAGACATGGTTCGGCACGTCCACGCAGCTGAACACTGCTTCGGCTTCCACTGGCGGGTTGTTTAATATGCGGGGGATTAACGGGTCTAAGTTTATAGTGCAGGCGAATTGGGACCTCGTGCTGAATAACAAGTGTGTGTTGTCTGCCCCATATCCCCCGAATCCTCCGCCTCCTCCCCCTCCTTCCCCCCCTCCTCCACCATCTCCTCCTCCCCCTTCTCCACCCCCACCCCCTCCTCCCTCTCCTCCTCCCTCTCCTCCCCCCCCTTCTCAACGAGCCCAATCACCAGCAACACCGCCTAAAGTTCCTGATCCTGTTAGAAGTTTCAGAGCGTTCATTTGCAGAGTGCTCAGGCGGTGCAAATGAGGGATGTGCGTCTGGGAACTGCTTGGATTGGACAGTGTTACCGTACTATGGGCAGGGCGTGTGTGGTGGAGACATGGAGAGTGAACTCGCTCGGGTTCTTCTACACTTGCTCGCTTGTATTGTACATACAGTACACTCTGTACCTGTATTGGAGTGTGTCTCTGGAAATAAACTTGTTCCCGCACGTGGTGTTGCCTTGGTTGAGAAAACTTGCTCGCGCGGCACGCACCCTTTCCTACGTCCAAGGCATTTGTGTGGCACAAAGGCAATTCTGATTGAGAGATGCTACCGGTATGTTAGATAGATCATGTATGGACGGACGCTGTAGGGCGCTGCAGGGGCTGAGAGTCTTAGGCGCAGTGAATCAGGGGGGGAGATGATGCTGTGGAAATGTATCCAAGACCTTTGGTGATCTAGTCCCCATGGTGCATCCATCTTTGGTGTCTTGTCTAGTCACGACTCAAGACTCAAGAGATAGATCCTTGTGATCTTTGGTAACACATATAGTCAAGACTCAAGATGGATCCTTGTGATCTTTGGTAACACATATAGTCAAGACTCAAGATGGATCCTTGTGATCTTTGGTAACACATATAGTCAAGACTCAAGATGGATCCTTGTGATCTTTGGTAACACATATAGTCAAGACTCAAGATGGATCCTTGTGATCTTTGGTAACACATATAGTCAAGACTCAAGATGGATCCTTGTGATCTTTGGTAACACATATAGTCAAGACTCAAGATGGATCCTTGTGATCTTTGGTAACACATATAGTCAAGACTCAAGATGGATCCTTGTGATCTTTGGTAACACATATAGTCAAGACTCAAGATGGATCCTTGTGATCTTTGGTAACACATATAGTCAAGACTCAAGATGGATCCTTGTGATCTTTGGTAACACATATAGTCAAGACTCAAGATGGATCCTTGTGATCTTTGGTAACACATATAGTCAAGACTCAAGATGGATCCTTGTGATCTTTGGTAACACATATAGTCAAGACTCAAGATGGATCCTTGTGATCTTTGGTAACACATATAGTCAAGACTCAAGATGGATCCTTGTGATCTTTGGTAACACATATAGTCAAGACTCAAGATGGATCCTTGTGATCTTTGGTAACACATATAGTCAAGACTCAAGATGGATCCTTGTGATCTTTGGTAACACATATAGTCAAGACTCAAGATGGATCCTTGTGATCTTTGGTAACACATATAGTCAAGACTCAAGATGGATCCTTGTGATCTTTGGTAACACATATAGTCAAGACTCAAGATGGATCCTTGTGATCTTTGGTAACACATATAGTCAAGACTCAAGATGGATCCTTGTGATCTTTGGTAACACATATAGTCAAGACTCAAGATGGATCCTTGTGATCTTTGGTAACACATATAGTCAAGACTCAAGATGGATCCTTGTGATCTTTGGTAACACATATAGTCAAGACTCAAGATGGATCCTTGTGATCTTTGGTAACACATATAGTCAAGACTCAAGATGGATCCTTGTGATCTTTGGTAACACATATAGTCAAGACTCAAGATGGATCCTTGTGATCTTTGGTAACACATATAGTCAAGACTCAAGATGGATCCTTGTGATCTTTGGTAACACATATAGTCAAGACTCAAGATGGATCCTTGTGATCTTTGGTAACACATATAGTCAAGACTCAAGATGGATCCTTGTGATCTTTGGTAACACATATAGTCAAGACTCAAGATGGATCCTTGTGATCTTTGGTAACACATATAGTCAAGACTCAAGATGGATCCTTGTGATCTTTGGTAACACATATAGTCAAGACTCAAGATGGATCCTTGTGATCTTTGGTAACACATATAGTCAAGACTCAAGATGGATCCTTGTGATCTTTGGTAACACATATAGTCAAGACTCAAGATGGATCCTTGTGATCTTTGGTAACACATATAGTCAAGACTCAAGATGGATCCTTGTGATCTTTGGTAACACATATAGTCAAGACTCAAGATGGATCCTTGTGATCTTTGGTAACACATATAGTCAAGACTCAAGATGGATCCTTGTGATCTTTGGTAACACATATAGTCAAGACTCAAGATGGATCCTTGTGATCTTTGGTAACACATATAGTCAAGACTCAAGATGGATCCTTGTGATCTTTGGTAACACATATAGTCAAGACTCAAGATGGATCCTTGTGATCTTTGGTAACACATATAGTCAAGACTCAAGATGGATCCTTGTGATCTTTGGTAACATGACAAGTCTCCTGCAATGCATATGCAAATACCGTACCATGGCCAATTGGTAAAACCAGGTTCCACAATGTATGGTAACACATATAGAAATTCAACATTCAGGAGGCCAAATGAACTGGGTGCTTTGCCTGAAATCAATACCGTAACCTTTCAAGCTCGAGGTGACTTTTGAGTCGACTCAAAAGTCACCACATTCAGGAGGCCAAATGAAGTGGGTGTTTTGCCTGAAATCAATACCGTAACCTTTCAAGCTTGAAAAATAGCACCACCGCCCTTCAACCAACCCAGCCCAGCACCAAGAATGGAGCACAGAAGCAGCTCCCAGCGGCCAATTGCTACTGCAGCACCCCAAACCAGCCACCTGGTTTCTTCTGCCTGGCCGCTGCATCGTTGCATCAAACAATCCGTCGCAACCTGATCCCTTCAAACGAGTCGCCTCTCCTCTCTCACTCTAACTCAGAAGGACCTCCTCCCACAACTTCAAATGTTACATGGATCATGAAACATCCATTCAGTATCCCAACCCAACCCAAGGGGCTCACTCTCATTTGCACTCCTATAGTCCCTCTCTGCTATAGCTCTGTAGACACCCAGTAGACCCATCTCATCCTCTCCCCAACCCACCCCCTTCAGGGAGCACCGGTCTTGCCATACTCCCAACAGCACCTCCTATCCCACTGCCACTGCTGCCTGTACTCTGCACTGGCAAAACACCCCCGTTCACACCACCGCTGCTGCCGCCAGTCGAACCACTTCTCTGCACCACATCCAACTTCTTCCCCTTATACGCTGTATAAAGCGACCCAAAGTCCGATATAAGCTGCTGGCACAGGGGACTCTCCGGGCTCGCGTCCCTCAACACATGCTCAAAGTAACCGAGAGCAAGCTCGAACCGATCGGCGACGGCGAATGCGCGGACGAGCACGGCGTAAGCGAGCGCATCGGGAACGAAGCCGGCGCGCTGCATGAGAGAGAGCAGCGACTCGGCGCGGCGGTACTGGCCGGCGCGGCCGTATGCGTCCATGAGCTGTGTGTACGTGCGCACGTCCGGGTCTATTCCCACCCGGCACGCCTCATCGAACACACGTTGCGCCTCCTGGTGGAGGGGACAGGGGAAAGGGGAAAGGGGAACGGGGCACGGGGAGGGGGTAAAGAGCCGGCCGTATGCATCCATGAGCTGCGTGTACGTGCGCACGTCCGGGTCTATGCCCACCCGGCACGCCTCATCGAACACACGTTGCGCCTCCTGGGGAAGGGAAACAGGGGAGGGGGGAAAAAAGGGAAAGGAGAACGGGAAAGGGGAAAGGGACACGAGGAGAGGGGAAAGAGCCAGTTTAGATTTATCCACGACCACGAACGTGCGAACGAGCACGGCGTAAGCGAGTGCATCAGGGACGAAGCCGGCGCGCTGCATGAGAGAGAGCCGGGACTCAGCGCGGCCGTATGCATCCATGAGCTGCGTGTACGTGCGCACGTCCGGGTCTATGCCCACCCGGCACGCCTCATCGAACACACGTTGCGCCTCCTGGGGAAGGGAAACAGGGGAGGGGGGAAAAAAGGGAAAGGAGAACGGGAAAGGGGAAAGGGACACGAGGAGAGGGGAAAGAGCCAGTTTAGATTTATCCACGACCACGAACGTGCGAACGAGCACGGCGTAAGCGAGTGCATCAGGGACGAAGCCGGCGCGCTGCATGAGAGAGAGCCGGGACTCAGCGCGGCCGTATGCATCCATGAGCTGCGTGTACGTGCGCACGTCCGGGTCTATGCCCACCCGGCACGCCTCATCGAATACACGTTGCGCCTCCTGGGGAAGGGAAACAGGGGAGGGGGGAAAAAAGGGAAAGGAGAACGGGAAAGGGGAAAGGGACACGAGGAGAGGGGAAAGAGCCAGTTTAGATTTATCCACGACCACGAACGTGCGAACGAGCACGGCGTAAGCGAGTGCATCAGGGACGAAGCCGGCGCGCTGCATGAGAGAGAGCCGGGACTCAGCGCGGCCGTATGCATCCATGAGCTGCGTGTACGTGCGCACGTCCGGGTCTATGCCCACCCGGCACGCCTCATCGAATACACGTTGCGCCTCCTGGGGAAGGGAAACAGGGGAGGGGGGAAAAAAGGGAAAGGAGAACGGGAAAGGGGAAAGGGACACGAGGAGAGGGGAAAGAGCCAGTTTAGATTTATCCACGACCACGAACGTGCGAACGAGCACGGCGTAAGCGAGTGCATCAGGGACGAAGCCGGCGCGCTGCATGAGAGAGAGCCGGGACTCAGCGCGGCCGTATGCATCCATGAGCTGCGTGTACGTGCGCACGTCCGGGTCTATGCCCACCCGGCACGCCTCATCGAATACACGTTGCGCCTCCTGGGGAAGGGAAACAGGGGAGGGGGGAAAAAAGGGAAAGGAGAACGGGAAAGGGGAAAGGGACACGAGGAGAGGGGAAAGAGCCAGTTTAGATTTATCCACGACCACGAACGTGCGAACGAGCACGGCGTAAGCGAGTGCATCAGGGACGAAGCCGGCGCGCTGCATGAGAGAGAGCCGGGACTCAGCGCGGCCGTATGCATCCATGAGCTGCGTGTACGTGCGCACGTCCGGGTCTATGCCCACCCGGCACGCCTCATCGAATACACGTTGCGCCTCCTGGGGAAGGGAAACAGGGGAGGGGGGAAAAAAGGGAAAGGAGAACGGGAAAGGGGAAAGGGACACGAGGAGAGGGGAAAGAGCCAGTTTAGATTTATCCACGACCACGAACGTGCGAACGAGCACGGCGTAAGCGAGTGCATCAGGGACGAAGCCGGCGCGCTGCATGAGAGAGAGCCGGGACTCAGCGCGGCCGTATGCATCCATGAGCTGCGTGTACGTGCGCACGTCCGGGTCTATGCCCACCCGGCACGCCTCATCGAATACACGTTGCGCCTCCTGGGGAAGGGAAACAGGGGAGGGGGGAAAAAAGGGAAAGGAGAACGGGAAAGGGGAAAGGGACACGAGGAGAGGGGAAAGAGCCAGTTTAGATTTATCCACGACCACGAACGTGCGAACGAGCACGGCGTAAGCGAGTGCATCAGGGACGAAGCCGGCGCGCTGCATGAGAGAGAGCCGGGACTCAGCGCGGCCGTATGCATCCATGAGCTGCGTGTACGTGCGCACGTCCGGGTCTATGCCCACCCGGCACGCCTCATCGAATACACGTTGCGCCTCCTGGGGAAGGGAAACAGGGGAGGGGGGAAAAAAGGGAAAGGAGAACGGGAAAGGGGAAAGGGACACGAGGAGAGGGGAAAGAGCCAGTTTAGATTTATCCACGACCACGAACGTGCGAACGAGCACGGCGTAAGCGAGTGCATCAGGGACGAAGCCGGCGCGCTGCATGAGAGAGAGCCGGGACTCAGCGCGGCCGTATGCATCCATGAGCTGCGTGTACGTGCGCACGTCCGGGTCTATGCCCACCCGGCACGCCTCATCGAATACACGTTGCGCCTCCTGGGGAAGGGAAACAGGGGAGGGGGGAAAAAAGGGAAAGGAGAACGGGAAAGGGGAAAGGGACACGAGGAGAGGGGAAAGAGCCAGTTTAGATTTATCCACGACCACGAACGTGCGAACGAGCACGGCGTAAGCGAGTGCATCAGGGACGAAGCCGGCGCGCTGCATGAGAGAGAGCCGGGACTCAGCGCGGCCGTATGCATCCATGAGCTGCGTGTACGTGCGCACGTCCGGGTCTATGCCCACCCGGCACGCCTCATCGAATACACGTTGCGCCTCCTGGGGAAGGGAAACAGGGGAGGGGGGAAAAAAGGGAAAGGAGAACGGGAAAGGGGAAAGGGACACGAGGAGAGGGGAAAGAGCCAGTTTAGATTTATCCACGACCACGAACGTGCGAACGAGCACGGCGTAAGCGAGTGCATCAGGGACGAAGCCGGCGCGCTGCATGAGAGAGAGCCGGGACTCAGCGCGGCCGTATGCATCCATGAGCTGCGTGTACGTGCGCACGTCCGGGTCTATGCCCACCCGGCACGCCTCATCGAATACACGTTGCGCCTCCTGGGGAAGGGAAACAGGGGAGGGGGGAAAAAAGGGAAAGGAGAACGGGAAAGGGGAAAGGGACACGAGGAGAGGGGAAAGAGCCAGTTTAGATTTATCCACGACCACGAACGTGCGAACGAGCACGGCGTAAGCGAGTGCATCAGGGACGAAGCCGGCGCGCTGCATGAGAGAGAGCCGGGACTCAGCGCGGCCGTATGCATCCATGAGCTGCGTGTACGTGCGCACGTCCGGGTCTATGCCCACCCGGCACGCCTCATCGAATACACGTTGCGCCTCCTGGGGAAGGGAAACAGGGGAGGGGGGAAAAAAGGGAAAGGAGAACGGGAAAGGGGAAAGGGACACGAGGAGAGGGGAAAGAGCCAGTTTAGATTTATCCACGACCACGAACGTGCGAACGAGCACGGCGTAAGCGAGTGCATCAGGGACGAAGCCGGCGCGCTGCATGAGAGAGAGCCGGGACTCAGCGCGGCCGTATGCATCCATGAGCTGCGTGTACGTGCGCACGTCCGGGTCTATGCCCACCCGGCACGCCTCATCGAATACACGTTGCGCCTCCTGGGGAAGGGAAACAGGGGAGGGGGGAAAAAAGGGAAAGGAGAACGGGAAAGGGGAAAGGGACACGAGGAGAGGGGAAAGAGCCAGTTTAGATTTATCCACGACCACGAACGTGCGAACGAGCACGGCGTAAGCGAGTGCATCAGGGACGAAGCCGGCGCGCTGCATGAGAGAGAGCCGGGACTCAGCGCGGCCGTATGCATCCATGAGCTGCGTGTACGTGCGCACGTCCGGGTCTATGCCCACCCGGCACGCCTCATCGAATACACGTTGCGCCTCCTGGGGAAGGGAAACAGGGGAGGGGGGAAAAAAGGGAAAGGAGAACGGGAAAGGGGAAAGGGACACGAGGAGAGGGGAAAGAGCCAGTTTAGATTTATCCACGACCACGAACGTGCGAACGAGCACGGCGTAAGCGAGTGCATCAGGGACGAAGCCGGCGCGCTGCATGAGAGAGAGCCGGGACTCAGCGCGGCCGTATGCATCCATGAGCTGCGTGTACGTGCGCACGTCCGGGTCTATGCCCACCCGGCACGCCTCATCGAATACACGTTGCGCCTCCTGGGGAAGGGAAACAGGGGAGGGGGGAAAAAAGGGAAAGGAGAACGGGAAAGGGGAAAGGGACACGAGGAGAGGGGAAAGAGCCAGTTTAGATTTATCCACGACCACGAACGTGCGAACGAGCACGGCGTAAGCGAGTGCATCAGGGACGAAGCCGGCGCGCTGCATGAGAGAGAGCCGGGACTCAGCGCGGCCGTATGCATCCATGAGCTGCGTGTACGTGCGCACGTCCGGGTCTATGCCCACCCGGCACGCCTCATCGAATACACGTTGCGCCTCCTGGGGAAGGGAAACAGGGGAGGGGGGAAAAAAGGGAAAGGAGAACGGGAAAGGGGAAAGGGACACGAGGAGAGGGGAAAGAGCCAGTTTAGATTTATCCACGACCACGAACGTGCGAACGAGCACGGCGTAAGCGAGTGCATCAGGGACGAAGCCGGCGCGCTGCATGAGAGAGAGCCGGGACTCAGCGCGGCCGTATGCATCCATGAGCTGCGTGTACGTGCGCACGTCCGGGTCTATGCCCACCCGGCACGCCTCATCGAATACACGTTGCGCCTCCTGGGGAAGGGAAACAGGGGAGGGGGGAAAAAAGGGAAAGGAGAACGGGAAAGGGGAAAGGGACACGAGGAGAGGGGAAAGAGCCAGTTTAGATTTATCCACGACCACGAACGTGCGAACGAGCACGGCGTAAGCGAGTGCATCAGGGACGAAGCCGGCGCGCTGCATGAGAGAGAGCCGGGACTCAGCGCGGCCGTATGCATCCATGAGCTGCGTGTACGTGCGCACGTCCGGGTCTATGCCCACCCGGCACGCCTCATCGAATACACGTTGCGCCTCCTGGGGAAGGGAAACAGGGGAGGGGGGAAAAAAGGGAAAGGAGAACGGGAAAGGGGAAAGGGACACGAGGAGAGGGGAAAGAGCCAGTTTAGATTTATCCACGACCACGAACGTGCGAACGAGCACGGCGTAAGCGAGTGCATCAGGGACGAAGCCGGCGCGCTGCATGAGAGAGAGCCGGGACTCAGCGCGGCCGTATGCATCCATGAGCTGCGTGTACGTGCGCACGTCCGGGTCTATGCCCACCCGGCACGCCTCATCGAATACACGTTGCGCCTCCTGGGGAAGGGAAACAGGGGAGGGGGGAAAAAAGGGAAAGGAGAACGGGAAAGGGGAAAGGGACACGAGGAGAGGGGAAAGAGCCAGTTTAGATTTATCCACGACCACGAACGTGCGAACGAGCACGGCGTAAGCGAGTGCATCAGGGACGAAGCCGGCGCGCTGCATGAGAGAGAGCCGGGACTCAGCGCGGCCGTATGCATCCATGAGCTGCGTGTACGTGCGCACGTCCGGGTCTATGCCCACCCGGCACGCCTCATCGAATACACGTTGCGCCTCCTGGGGAAGGGAAACAGGGGAGGGGGGAAAAAAGGGAAAGGAGAACGGGAAAGGGGAAAGGGACACGAGGAGAGGGGAAAGAGCCAGTTTAGATTTATCCACGACCACGAACGTGCGAACGAGCACGGCGTAAGCGAGTGCATCAGGGACGAAGCCGGCGCGCTGCATGAGAGAGAGCCGGGACTCAGCGCGGCCGTATGCATCCATGAGCTGCGTGTACGTGCGCACGTCCGGGTCTATGCCCACCCGGCACGCCTCATCGAATACACGTTGCGCCTCCTGGGGAAGGGAAACAGGGGAGGGGGGAAAAAAGGGAAAGGAGAACGGGAAAGGGGAAAGGGACACGAGGAGAGGGGAAAGAGCCAGTTTAGATTTATCCACGACCACGAACGTGCGAACGAGCACGGCGTAAGCGAGTGCATCAGGGACGAAGCCGGCGCGCTGCATGAGAGAGAGCCGGGACTCAGCGCGGCCGTATGCATCCATGAGCTGCGTGTACGTGCGCACGTCCGGGTCTATGCCCACCCGGCACGCCTCATCGAATACACGTTGCGCCTCCTGGGGAAGGGAAACAGGGGAGGGGGGAAAAAAGGGAAAGGAGAACGGGAAAGGGGAAAGGGACACGAGGAGAGGGGAAAGAGCCAGTTTAGATTTATCCACGACCACGAACGTGCGAACGAGCACGGCGTAAGCGAGTGCATCAGGGACGAAGCCGGCGCGCTGCATGAGAGAGAGCCGGGACTCAGCGCGGCCGTATGCATCCATGAGCTGCGTGTACGTGCGCACGTCCGGGTCTATGCCCACCCGGCACGCCTCATCGAATACACGTTGCGCCTCCTGGGGAAGGGAAACAGGGGAGGGGGGAAAAAAGGGAAAGGAGAACGGGAAAGGGGAAAGGGACACGAGGAGAGGGGAAAGAGCCAGTTTAGATTTATCCACGACCACGAACGTGCGAACGAGCACGGCGTAAGCGAGTGCATCAGGGACGAAGCCGGCGCGCTGCATGAGAGAGAGCCGGGACTCAGCGCGGCCGTATGCATCCATGAGCTGCGTGTACGTGCGCACGTCCGGGTCTATGCCCACCCGGCACGCCTCATCGAATACACGTTGCGCCTCCTGGGGAAGGGAAACAGGGGAGGGGGGAAAAAAGGGAAAGGAGAACGGGAAAGGGGAAAGGGACACGAGGAGAGGGGAAAGAGCCAGTTTAGATTTATCCACGACCACGAACGTGCGAACGAGCACGGCGTAAGCGAGTGCATCAGGGACGAAGCCGGCGCGCTGCATGAGAGAGAGCCGGGACTCAGCGCGGCCGTATGCATCCATGAGCTGCGTGTACGTGCGCACGTCCGGGTCTATGCCCACCCGGCACGCCTCATCGAATACACGTTGCGCTTCCTGGTGGAGGGGAAAGGGGTGAAGGGAAGGGGGAAGGTGATTGTTCTTTGAGATATATTATATTTTGGAGCCGCCGCAGTAGCAGGTGCAATGCCGAAGACCTGTTGAGCCTCCTAGTGAAGGGGATGAGGGAAGTAGGAGAGGGAAAAGGGGGAGAACGGGTAAGGGAAGAGGTGGAAAGGGGGGAGGGTCAAAGCCCTCACCTCATACATGCCGTGACGCGCGGTAAATGTTGATGGGCATGAGGGCCCTGTGTACGCCTTCCGAACTAAGAAACGGGCAGTACGCCTTCGCGAGTTGACTTTTGAGTCGACTCAAAAGTCAACGTGGCGCGCGTGAATGTCGATGGGCCCTGTGTACGCCTTCCAAACTAAGAAAACGGGTAGTACGCCTTCCCGCCCTTTCCCACGCCAACCCCCCTTCATCCCCACACAGCCTGGCGCACATATCTCTCCCCACGCCTCCTGCTCCAATTACTACCGTGCGTCATCCAAGCCCTCACCTCATACATCCCATGGCGCGCATAAGCATTGATGAGCCTTCTCCCACCCTGCCCACACCTCCCTTATCAATTCTTCAAGGCCTCACCTCATACATCCCATGGCGTGCATAGGCATTGATGAGCCCTGTGTACGCCTGCCCTCCTGGCACACAGCCTGCTGCCCGCATATCCCGCCACACCTCCTGTGCCTCCTCGTGCCGGCCCATGCGGCCATACGCGTTGATCATCGCTGTGAACGTCACCAGGTTGGGGCGCAGTCCACTGCGACTGATCTCCTGTTGGGGGGAGAGGAAATGGGAGGGAGAGGGGTTTGGGGGAAGTGGAGGGAGGACTGAGCAGGTGGGGGAGGGGAAGAGGGGGTTAGGTAAGAGGGGGTGTGAGCAGGGGGTGTTCGAGTTAGGCAGCGGGGAGGGGCAGACAAGTGGACGAGTGGATGTGTAAGTGGCACTTGCAAAATCGTCTTCCTCATTCCCCCATGTGAATATCCCAACTACCCACCCTTCTCCCACCCGTTCGTCTCCCCCCTGCCCTCCACTCCTCCTCCCCTCTTCACGCCCAATTCCCCATTAAAAAACCGACCTCATAGGTCTGATCCGCGTCTTCAATGCTGCAGGTTTTGGAAGCAGCCTCCAGCAGGATGTTGAACGTGTAGAGGTCCGGGGCCACGCCCGCAACCCTAGTCCCACTCCCAACGGCCTACCCTCTCCCCAATAACCCCAGCCTCCCAGAAACTGACCTCGTAGATTCGATCTGCGTCCTCGATGGTGCGGGTCTTGGAAGCAGCCTCCAGCAGGATGTTGAACGTGTAGAGGTCCGGGGCCATGCTCCCCATGGATAGGCTGGAACATGTTCGGGCTGAACCGCATCTCCCGGTTGAAACGGTTGCGACGGTTACCGAAATGAATCTCATCGTATCGTTCAGCGACACGCGCCATCTCCTCAAGCGAACTACAGCCCTGCACCTCTACCTCCATCCTAACGTCGTCTTTCAACCCGCGCTTAAACTTGTCCAGCGCCACCCGCACTGCCACTCCCACTCCCATCCCCCCTACCCTGCCCCTTTATCCCCCCACCCTTTCCTCCTCCCTTATCCTACCTCTCCTTTCCCTCCCCCCTCTACACTTCCCCTGTCCCCCCTTACATCTCCCCTCTCTCTTCAAAAGACCGACCTCATAGATTCTATCCGCATCCTCAATGGTGCGGGTCTTGGAGGCGGCTTCCAGCAGGATGTTGAACGTGTAGAGGTCCGGGGCCACACCCGCACTGCGCATCACTGCCACTCCCATCCCACCCACCCCCTCAATCCTGTCCCCTTAATCGACCCCACTATCCTCCTCCCCTCCTCTCCCCTCTCCCCCATGTTCCCCCATTCACACCCACCCCTGCCCCCAGGAACCAACCTCATAGATTCTATCCGCGTCCTCGATGGTGCGGGTCTTGGAAGCAGCCTCCAGCAGGATGTTAAACGTGTAGAGGTCCGGGGCCACGCCCGCACTGCGCATCACTGCCAGCACGTGCTGCGCCTTCTCCGGGTGGCCTGCCTTGGCGTATGCGTCCATGAGCGTGTTGTATGTCACCTGTGGGGGAGAGAGAGGGGAAGGTGGTGTGGGGAAGGGGGGGAAGGAAGGCGGGAGGGAGTGGGGGCGGAGAGAGGGAAAAGGCGGGATGGATGGAGAGAGGGGCCATCGTGGCCTGCCTTGGCGTATGTGTCCATGAGCGTGTGGGGGAAGAGAGGGGATGAGGGAGAGGGGGAGCAGGAAGGGGAGGGAGGGGAGAAAGATATGTGAAGGAAGGGGGCGAGAGTGGGAGTGGAAAGGGGGGAACGGGACAGAGGGTGGGAGACGAAGAGGAGGAGGTAGGGAGGCCGACAGAGGCCGAGATGATGCGTGTATCACAGTACCCGCATCTTCATAAAAAAACCAACGAGATTTTCTTCCACTCTCCATGCCATTCTTTCCCATCACTCGCCCTGCACATTCGCACACAAAAGCACACACATGCACACACACACCCTCCCGGCCAGTCGTCCGGGTGTTGAAGTGCCTCATGTAGACTCACCCTGTCCGGGTGTGGAGGAACCTCATGTAGACTCACCCTGTCCGGGTGTGGAGGAACCTCATGTAGACTCACCCTGTCCGGGATGCACCCCTGGGTGCGCATCTGCTGCAACACACCCTCTGCTTCGTCCACCTGCCCGTCCCGGCCATAGAAGTTGATCATCGTGTTGTACGTGAACGCATCCGGCATGCACCCTGCCGTGCACACACAGGGGATGGATGAAACGGCAAGAGGGGGGGGAACGGATGGGTGGTTCGGTTTGGTGGCTGACAGAACTTATAGAAGGGCAAAGAACGTGGCAAGGGTGTGATGCCCATCCCAACCAGATGATCATTGTGTGTGCAAGGACACGTGAATGACAGAGCTCATATTCGTACAATTGCATCGCATTACCTGCTCGCTCCATCTCCTGGAAGAGGCTGGTGGCTTCGTCATACAGGCCTGCCTCGCCATACGCGCGGATGAGCGAGTTGTACGTGCGGCTGTTGGGGTCCTGCCCGCAGTGCTTCATCTCCTGTGTGTGGGGTTGGGCGTGGGGATGGGCATTGGGATGGGCAGGGGGGTGGGGATGGGTGGGTGGGGATGCGACGATTTTAGAGTCAACTCAATAGTTGTAAGTGCGGCTGTTGGGGTCCTGCCCGCAGTGCTTCATCTCCTGTGTGTGGGGTTGGGCGTGGGCCTGGGCATGGGATACGAATGGGGACGAGGATGGGGACGGTGGTGGGGATCGGCATGGGATGGGATGGTGGTGCGGATGGGGATGGGGATGGTGGTGGGAATGGGCATGGGGATGGTCATGGTCATGGGCATGGTCATGGGCATGGGCAAGGGCGAAGGCAATGGCATGGGCATCGGGCATGGAGATGGCGGTGGGATGGGAATAGGTATGGGGGTGGAATAGGAACAGAAAGAGCGTCAGGGCATCTCAGGTTCAACTCCTTTTTCCCCAGCCCTTCCCTTCCCCCCTTCCCTGCCTGCCTTCCCACTCACTCCTCTTTGCAAACACTCGTGCTCCACCCACTCACCTCGAACAGCTCCGCGGCCTCTTTCACCCGCCCTGTCTTGCCCAGCCCGTCAACAAGGCTGGTGTACGTGATGACGTTGGGGGAGAAGCCGGCTTGGCGCATGGTGTGGAAGACAGTCAGGGCTCGCTCCCTACTCTTCTTGCAAACCCTCAGGCTCCACTCACTCACCTCGAACAACTCTGCCGCTTCTTTCACCCGCCCGGTCTTGCCCAGCCCGTCGACGAGACTGGTGTACGTGATGACGTTGGGGGAGAAGCCGGCTTGGCGCATGGTGTGGAAGACAGTCAGGGCTCGCTCCCTACTCTTCTTGCAAACCCTCAGGCTCCACTCACTCACCTCGAACAACTCTGCCGCTTCTTTCACCCGCCCGGTCTTGCCCAGCCCGTCCACGAGACTGGTGTACGTGATGACGTTGGGGGAGAAGCCGGCTTGGCGCATGGTGTTGAAGACGGTCAGCGCTCGCTCCACGTCCCGGCAGCGCACACACACGTTGATCAGCGTGTTGTACGTGATGGCGTCCGGCTCCACTCCCCTCGCTGTCATCTCGTCAAACAATGCCGTCACCTGCATGGAGGAGGGGACAGGGACAGGGGGAGGGGGCGGGTGTAGGGAAGGAGGGAGGAGAGTGGGGCGAGCAGTCCCTGTTGAAGTGATGTGACTTGTTGGCGTCTGGCTCCACTCCCCGCGCTGTCATCTCATCAAAGAGTGCTGTCACCTGCATGGAGGAGAGCAGGAGAAGGGAGAGGGGGCGGGTGTAGGGAAGGAGGGAGGAGAGAGGGGCGAGCAGTCCCTGTTGAAGTGATGTGACTTGTTGGCGTCCGGCTCCAATCGCCCTCGCTGTCATCTCATCAAAGAGTGCTGTCACCTGCATGCAGGAGAGCAGGAGGGAGCGGGAGGGAGGACGAGAACCCATACCTACCGATGTGATGGCCTTCGGCTCTCAAGGTGAGCCCCGTCAATTCATTGCATTGCACCTAAGCAAGCATCTGAGAAGGTGGGGGAGGAAGGGGTTGTGGGGATGGGAAAGGGTTTCAAGGGATCACATGCTGTTAGGTGTCAGGTTTTACTTCCATCCCCGTCGTTTCCTTCACCACAGCTGTCACCTGTTGATGCGTGACAAGGGGAGGCTGGGTGCACGGTTCGGGCGGAGAGAAGGAAGGAATTGGGAGAGAGAAGGCCGAATTCGGCGAATGAGCCACATGCGGCAATAGCTTCTGGTGGCACTCCTAGGCTCGCCATCTCGTCAAGCAGAGCCGGCACGTGTACATGGGATGGGATGGGGAAGAGGGGATGGGGAAGGCGGGAGTGGTGTTGGTTCCAACAGAGAGAGATTGGGGAGGCGGGCAGGTGTTTTGGTTGTGGAAGAGAGGGAGGAAAGAGATATTGTTGGCGGGGGCATGTGTGTTGGGGTGTGTGTGTTCGTGTTTGTTTCTGTGTGTGCGTGTGTTTGTCCCCGTCATCTGTCTCTCTAGCTTCCTCCCCCACACTCCACATTCGTATCCCATTGCTTCTTTCTGAAAACCCCATATCACACTGCCTCGTCAGTCCCACATCCCCCCCCCCACACAACAACCCTCTTAATCTACTTTACCTATGCAGCACTCCCTCAACACACGTCCAGTCCTCTCACCCTTAGCTGAAGAATTAGCCCAAACCTCAGCCAGCGCACACACACACGCACACACGCACGCACCTTATCAACTCCCGAGCCCTGCTTCGCGTGCGCGTGAATGAGCGCGTTGTACGTGACCACGTTCGGCTCGCACCCCTCCTCCTTCATCAGCGCCAGCACGTCCACCGCCTCGCGGATCAGCCCGTGCCGCGCGTACCCGCTCAGCAGCGACGTGAACTCGTGCACGCCGCGCGCCACGCCGTGCGCCGCCATCGCGTCGAACGCCGCGCGCGCGTGCGCCAGCTTGCCGTCGCGGCCCAGCATGGTGATGACGGTGGAGAAGAGCTGCGGGGAGAGGGTCACTCCGTGGTGCTCCTTCCCTAGGAGCAAGTACTCGAAGACCTCGTACGCGCGTCTTTTGTTTCCCCTGTGCTCTAAATCCCGTAGGATCTAGGGACGCGAAGCGGGCGGATGGAGGAATTGGGGAGAGGAGGGTGCAAGATGACAGGAGTGGATTGTTGTGGCGGCTTGTACATGTTTAAAGGTGTATTGGCTGGCAAGTGGAATGACAGTGGTTTAATGGCTACAGTGGCATCTTCGCCACGCCATCGCACGGTCGCACGGAATTGAACGCGATCGCATACTTTCGAGCACGAGCGCATGCGATCAGACAGCACGGCGCATGACCCTGACTGACCCAGTCGAATTCCGCACTCACATGATCCCACAGCGTCGCGGCGGTCAATCGCGACAGCACCGGCGACACCACGTCCTCCACACTCTCCTTGCTCCGCGCCAGAAGGTCGATCACTACAGACCGCGCAAGCGCCAGTCCGCGCCCATTGCCTCTCGATCTCCCCCCCGCGCCATCCTCCCTTCCGCCAGGTCCCACCCACGCCCTGCGCCCGCTCTGCGCATTCCCCTGGTCCTCTTCCCCCTCACTTTCCGAGCTGGAACTTCCGCCGCTTCTTCGACGCCCGCCGCTGCGGTAGGCAGTGCCGCTACCGCTGCCGCTGCTGCTCCTGCCGCTGCTGTTGGCGACTGGCACGTTGACATGCACGCTGGCGCGTCGATCGCGTCCCGCCGGAATCCATTCCCAGCGCCCGCTGTTCCGAACGTATTTAGCCCTTCTATCCCTGCTCTCAGTCCCCTCCCTTCCACGTTCTGTCACGTTTCCGTCCCTATCTGTGCCCCTCCACTCGCTTCTGTAACTCTGCCTCGGACCTTCCCGGCTTTCACGGCTTCTCTCTCCCTGACTCACATCACTCCCAGAATCTTTACCGGGCGCAGCAGTATCCTCCCTTGCGTCCTTTTCAGGCTCGTCTTCTCTCTCAGAGTCCGACGTTAACCGTCCCTCCCTCCCCTCGTCCACGAATCTGCTACTGTCAACGTCACGCGCGCTCACTCGGAGCTGTACCCCGCTGGGACGAGTCGCGGAGCGAGCGTCCGGAGCGGAGAAGAAGTGCGTTAGTGTAACTGTTCGTGTTCGAGGCGTGAGCTTTCCAGAGAATCTGCTGGGTCCGGAATTGAGGGAGAAAGGAGGACGCTCGCGGTGCCGTTGGGGGAGTGATGCGAGCAATGACTTGCTCCCAGCAGCGCTAGAGGTGAATGGGTGATGCGCTGACGCGGTTGAATTGAATGCTGGCACGAAGCCTGCTGTGTGCAGCGGTGATGCTGAGATCATTGTGCTAGAGATACCGATAGTGTCGTCAAGTGGGGATCAGGTTCGTATGATGAATGCGACTGTACAGGCAGTGGATCACTGCAGGCCTAGAGTACCACCTGATAGCCTGAGTGTCCGACCATTATGCGGTTCTCAGAAGAAAATGGCACGCTCGACTGCTCAGAAGAACAAAAGGTCGTGGCTGGGAAATCAACGAAGCGCATATGAGCTCAGAATGAAACACTGCATTCACAGCCGATACATGATCATGCACAAGACAGTCTCCTCTCCTTGCTTACGACGATGGGATGGGGGGAACAACGAACAAGCAGTGGCAGTAGGCAGTGAGGAATGGAGGAGGCAAGTTTCATGCACCCACGCATAACAAATCCCAAGGTGGCGCAATGTTGTCGGCGGAGCGGTGGCGGGGAAGAGAGGGGAGGGGAGCGTCGCGTGAAGTTGGGGGAGGGCTGGATGCTCCACTAGCGGAACCACATTTTCCCGAAGTCTCTCCCCCGCAGTCCAGCGACGCGCCAACCAGCCTGGGTGCAGTGGGAGCAGCAGCACACTCTGCAAGTGTACGCCTCGGGTCATGGTTGGGGGGAAGCAAGAACCGTGGAGGCACATGGTCCACTAATCAGAAACCACCATGTGGAATTGACGCTTAACTACCATTGGATATCTGTGCGCACTGGATTACACAGCCTCCATTGCCAACACCAAGATGGAGCCGGGAAACATGTGTATATAGATGACTACAGTTGTATGTACTCTTTCCGCTTATAATCAGAATAGTTTCATGTCAATAAGTATAGTCTTAACTCAATAAAACGAGCAGGGCATCCACAATAACCAGGTGGAAGTTGTAAGATATACTGAATAATCAATTTATACAATTCATATTATATGCTGTTACAATCCTAAAAAGGACTTTGCGAAGGATCGTCTCAGGGTTGATCGCAGTTTGAGTTGTTGCAATGGAAGTACTGACCTCAGGTCAGAGTGAATGTAAATGACTGAGACAATTAAAAGCATGCATACATCGAGTTTATATATAGAGTACAGGGAATACGAAACGAGATAGGCTAGCCATGTACTCTAAGGGGTACATTCCCTTATTACAGCGAAGTTCAACCGTGCGGCGCGGGAACCCGTTTCAAACATGTTCCTGCTCTTTTCAGTTCAAATGTATCTGCCTGCATCGGACTTGATATGACGGTTGCTGGTGTCGCTTCGACTCTTCTGACTCCTCGACTTCGTACTCGGTAGAGTCGGCTCATGCAGCATACAAGAATGCCTTACTCATTTTTCATATCGTAACACTCCCCTTCATTCCTGGTCGCGCAGAGGGCTGACTCGTTTGACTACTCCGGTGAGGATGGAGCAGTGCTGGTACTGCTGACATGGCAGTCGCTTGGTGAGGAAATCGGCTGCCATCTCGGTGGTGGGGCAGTACGTGAGGTCAACCTTGCCCTGGTCAATTTCGTCCTTGACGAAAAAGTATCGAAGCGCGATGTGCTTCGTGCGGTTGACGAACCCTGGCTTGTTCGCGATCTTGATGGCGCTCTGGTTGTCGCAGTGGAGGCAAAAGGTGGGCAATGCTGAGATTTTCGCCTCCTGCAGCAGTTCTTGCAGGTAAAGTCCTTCACGAACTGCTGATGTTGCGGCGATGTACTCTGCTTCGACCGATGACAGGGCAACCAGTTCCTGCTTTTGCGAGTTCCAGGAGATTGGCCCTGTTGGCTCCAGGCAAAAGACGAAGCCGGTCCATGATCGTCGATTGGCGGGGTCAGCAGCATGATCTGCGTCCACGTAACCGTTGAGGTTGAATGATGTTGCTGTCAGCGTGGAGTAGGAGAGCCCGATGTCAGGTGTGGATATGAAGCACTGTAGGGCGCGCTCCAGATCCAGGTGATTTTCTGCTACAGGCTTACGGGAATACATTGCCAGTTGGCTGGCGATGTACGAGAGGTCGGGTCGGCAAGTGACGAAGGCAAACAACAGGCACCCCAGTTGCTGTTGATAAAGATGGAGTCATGCGGGCGATAGAGGTTTGTTGTCCAGTTTGTAGTTGGCGCTGGGGGTGCGATAAGGAGTTGAGAGTGGTGCGGGCGAGATTTTGAAGCGTTCTCCCAGCTGTTCTGCGTACTTGGAGGCTGACAGATGAATTGCTTCTGGCGCGTAAGTAATGTTCAGCCCCAGGAACTGTGTGACTTTGTGGTTGATGGATGTCAACGCGCTGCGCCAGGTTTGCTTCGAACTGGTCCAGAAGCTTGTTGTAGGTGCCGGTGTAAAGCAGGTCTTCGACGTAGACTGTCAGGAGGATGTAATCGCTGTTGAAGTGGAGGCGGTACATTCCCGGGTCGTGCGGCAGCTGCCTAAAGCCGATCTCCATAAGTATCTTGTGCAGGTGCTGCTGCCAGAGACGCGGCGCCTGTTTTATGCCGTAAAGAGATTTCTTCAGCTGGCAGACCCTGGGATCTCCTTCCCCGTAGGTGTGAGGTTGCTCCACGAAGATGGTTGCATCGACCAACACATATAGGAATGCGTTCTTAACGTCGATCTGCCGCAGTGGTAGGTGCTTAGCTGCAGCGATGGCGAGGAGGATCCTCACAGAGGTATGGCGACTGACGGGAGCGAAGGTATGGTCGAAATCGATGCCGTGGCGCTGGTCGTAGCCGCGTACAACCCAACGTGCTTTGAAACGCTCGATAGTTCCGTCAGTTGTAGTCTTCAGATGAAAAAACCCATTTTCCACTTAGCACCCTACTCCCCTTCACTGCTGCTCGATCGACTAGGACCCAGGTGTCTCCTGACTCTAGCGATTTCAGCTCCGCATCCATGGCTGCACGCCATTCCTTGGCGTGTGGTCCATTTAGGGCCTGTCGTGGGTTCTTGGGTTCGACGATGCGGGGGGTGGTAGTGATTGTCGTGTGCAGGCCAAGGAGTTGAAGGCCTGTGACGTTGGATGCACCTTCGGCTTCCTGAGCGGTGACTTCTACTACGTCGTCATCATCGCTTTCGTGGGCCGGCGAGTTGTCGCTTGGTGGAGCATGGCGACGTGACGGTCCGGGCGCGGGAGCGTCATCGCTGTCATCATCGTCGTCGTCGTCGCGTGGACGAGGAGGTACGCCGGGATGTTCGTCAGTAGGGTCGCGGTCAAGCACTGCTGCTGCGGCCTCATCTTCCGGCGAGGCAAAACTGCGGCCGTAGTTGACGTAAGCTCGTGCGACATGGCTGAGCTGATCCTCGTTCCACTGCTTCAAGGTGAGTCGTTCGTAGAAGAGGATGTCACGCGCCGGCACAATCTTGTCGTTGTCAATGTCAAGGATCAGCCACCCCTTGTACTCGTGGCTGAGTCCCAAGTGCACGCTGTCAGAATGTTATAATTGTCTAGCCTGCAGTGGGGTACTCCATAGTGAGTACAGCCCAAATAGGGTTTGCTATATGTATCCAACTGCTTGCTAGTGAAACCTCCTCCTTTCTTCATTCTTGTTTCTGCCTGCTAGTTCTGACATGCTATCAGAGCAGGTCGACCCCCTTGGGTCGATCCTGTGGGTGGGCCCACCACCTAATGCTTCCGCTGCTTTACTTCCTGTCGTGCGCCTCGGGCGCGCGTCGACTTCTTCCTGCCGTGCGCTCGGGGCGCGCGGCGGTTTTCTGCCCGCCGAGTGCCCCGTGGCGCGCGGCGGTTTTCTGCATGGCGCGCCCCCCGTCGGCCCTCGCGTCGCCTCAGGGGATCCGCGCGCGCCCCCCCGTCGGCTCTCGCGCTGCCCCGCTGGACCCGCGCGCGGCACCCCGTCGACCCTCGCGTCGCCTCCGGGGACCCGCGCGCGCCCCCCGTCGGCTCTCGCGCTGCCCCGCTGGACCCGCGCGCGGCACTCCGTCGACCCTCGCGTCGCCTCCGGGGACCTGCACGCGACCCCCGTCGACCCTCGCGTCGCCCCCGGGGACCCGCGAGCCGCCCCTGGAGCCGTGCGCGACCCCCCCGCTGCCCCGTCGCGGCGCCCTGGGGGGCCGCGCGCGGCCCCTCGCTGCCCCATGGTGGCGCCCTGGAGGCCGCGCGCCTTCCCCCTCGCCGTCCCCCGCGCTCCTTCCCCGTGCCACCCGTTTTAGGGTTTGGGGGTGGGGAGTGTGGGGGTGGCGGTTGTGGGGGTGCCGGTTGTGTGCGCCGTCCCCTACTCCTCCTTCTCCTCCGTCTCCCGCTGCTGCAGCTGCCGCTCAGGGGGGTGGGTGTGTGGGGAGCCGAAGGCGTGGTGCTAGGGGGGTGACGGGGGAGTGGAGCTAGGGGTGCAGCAGGGGGTGTGTGGAAAGGGGGTGGGACTGTTTGGGGAGGTTGCGCGGAGGTAGCCGTCGTGTCGCCAGCAGCGCCAGTAGTCCGGAGCCCTTGCTCTCGGTAGCCCAGCGAGCCTCCTGCGCCAGTCGCCTGTGGGTCCGTAGCTCCTGCCGCTCGTCGTAGCAGCGGAGTCTGTTACTCCAGTATTCCGGGGCCCTTGCTCCGGTAGCCACTGTGCCAGCCGCTCCTGTCGCCCGTGTGTCTGCAGCTTCAGCCGTCGCCTCCAATCTCCTCTCCTCTCACAGTCACTCCTCCTCCTCACTTGCCCTTTGTGAATGCCTCTAGTTTTGCTTGCACTTGTGAACCTGCTCTATGCCTGCTTATTGTGCTGATTACACCCCACTTTGGCTATGGGGGTGTGTCAGAATGTTATAATTGTCTAGCCTGCAGTGGGGTACTCCATAGTGAGTACAGCCCAATTAGGGTTTGCTATATGTATCCAACTGCTTGCTAGTGAAACCTCCTCCTTTCTTCATTCTTGTTTCTGCCTGTTAGTTCTGACACACGCCCCATCGTGCGCGTTGAGTGAACTTGCCGATGGTCGCGGATGTTGGCTGATACTGCACCATGCACCCCCAAACCCTCAGCATGGAGGTATCTCCACTTGTCCCAGTCCACTTCATGTGCGGGGAGAGATTTCCCCTGTTCGTCGTGGTGGAGAGGAGGTTGTGCAGGCGCACGGCGT